AGGTTCCTGTGAAACCATACACAGGTGTCCCATTATGCCAGTCATCGTGTTTTTGGTTAAAACACACAGTTCTTGGCAGAGCAGAAGTGATGAGTGCTGCCCAGCTACAAAATGTTACGGCATCCCAAGGTTATGCAGTCTGTCCCTGCCTCGAGTCTCCCTTCGCAAGGGATGCAGCAAAAGCGCTGAAGCAAATCAGCCTCGTGGGTGGGCTGTAAAGGCAGCCCTGCCACTGCCACCTGTGCTAGCTGGCTGATTGCCCCGCTGTGGTCCCAGGTGGCATGTGGCCTGAAGAACTGGGGCTGCAGTGCTGGAGTGGCTGGCTGCCCAGGCAGCCCAGTGCCTCTGAGGCCACTCACACCCACAAGCCAGTCCCCTGGGACAGAGGAACTCCAGAAAACAAACTGTTTCTAGTGGAAGTGAAAGGCATAAAGCAAAACAGATGCTTTCTGGCACATGAAAAACCCTGGGCCATATCCTACATTTTTACATCTGCCAGGTTCTACTTTCCAGCTCTTACATCAGTATTTCTTCTGGTTCAGAGGTCCCTGGGGGCGCGAGACGCCCCGGCTGCAGCAAGGCAGGGTCATTTTTGTGTAAGGGGTGTGACTGTGACCAGCTTCTGGGACAGCACAGAAGGTGACACAGTTTGGACCAGTGCTGGGAACTGGATCTGCTCAGTGTGAGCCTTAAGGAGCCATGTTTTATGAGGTTTTTTGCTACTTCTCCACATATGAGCTAGATCAAACACCTGTTGCTTTGTGCTAGAGCTTCAAGCGTTTGTTCAGCTATGGAAAGTTGACTGAGCACGTTTCAAAGTTTATACTCCCTTTCTTTTTTTCTTATCGATGGCAGCCGATAATTTAATGTTTCTTAGAACGAGTATGCAAAATAAGAGCTATGCATTTGTTCTTTCTGAAAAACGGAAAGCTTGGCTGCCTTCTTCCTCAAGCAACGGTTGCCTTCTCAGCACGTGCAACAGTTCCCCTCCCAGGAGATACTGTGTTTTGTTTAAAAACCCATGGCATCCTTCCATGGGTTGACATGGAAGGTCCAGTTTGACCCATGGCTAATGCTCCCCAGAACTCGAGAAGGGCAGAGAGTTGGTTCAGGGAGATACTGGGGGAACACAGTTTGCAACAGTCTGTGGATGTTGCAGACACTTGGCTCTCTCCGATTTCCCCTTAACAAGGGAAAAATACTGTGTTGGGAAATACTACCAAGCCAGACTCCCTACCTGCCTCCACGCAAAGCGAATAAAAAGAAAATGTAAAGAGGACTCAAGCTATGAAAGAATACTCCAGGTGAACTGGTCCCAGTGTTTTTCCCCCACTTGTTCTGTTTAGCCAAAAACGAATGTCACCATGAAGCAAAGCAAGGATGCCACCACTTCTGCTATCCAGGAACTAATTCCTACCGCTGTTCCTGTGCTGATGGCTATGAGCTTGGGAAGGACGAAAAACAGTGCATCGCATTAGGTAGGTGTGAGCATGGAAGTACAGGAGGAACCTGTTCAGGGCTGGGATGGGCAGGCCACCACCTGATACCCAGATATGATCAACCAGCTCTGAGGCTCAAGCAATAAGAATATTACTGCGTAGAAAAAGGAGAAATCTAGGGACCACCACCCAAGATGCCAAAGTAACAGTAAAAGAAGCAATATTTTACCTAAACATTTGAGTCTTCAGAGAGAACTGGCATCATCCTACATATCACTCACCAGACTAGGTTTTCCACTCCTATGTTTGGTAGAGTAACTCCACCGAACACCTGTTTGTTCAGGAATGAGGTTCAATTGTTTCCCATCAGGCACCTGATGATCTGATAAGTGAAGGGCAGAATTTGCTGCCATATTAATTAGTTTAAAGCAGTACCCCTTTTTATCTTTTCAATCTCATACTAGGTATCTCATTCAATCTCATCCCCTTATAAAGTAGGCCTACTTAAAGCACAGAATTATATTTAGACCCATGTCTGTATTAGCAAGTGGGGCAGACAAATAGGAGTTCAGCTGTAGAGCCACTCTTTTGGTGATGAAAGCCTGATGCCCACACTCAATGCACACTTCAGGTGGGCTTTACATCAAACTAGCTTTAGTTCAGTCCTGTGGACTAAGCACCCTATGAGAGTATGTTATGTGTGCTCCTGGAGGGTGTCCTCTGGTTTAGTTTCACCAGAACACAATCCAGTCTGTGACCCAAAACCAAACCACAAGCTGAACTGAAAGTGATACATGCAGATAACTGGGTGATCCAACTGAAGAGCACTCATATTGTTCGAACCAGAACAGAAAGGCATGCACATGCCTAGAGTAACAACTTCAACAAAGAAAACCTCAGATTTACCGTACCCAGACTGGGCCACAGCTATCAGGTATTTGGCACAATTCAAACAGAGGATAAAAAACTAAAAAAGCAAGCTGCGCTGAAGCTTGGCTGGAGAGGAAGCCTCATTTCCTTAGTTACAGACACAGTGAAATCTGATCACTACAATGAACCAAAATTCAGCCCATTGCTAAACTTTATGATTAAACATTATGACTACAAATGTAAAATTATTCCAATTCTCACCAGCTGAGAAAATTGTCATTCTCCTTTTCCTTTGTTCAAAAACAAAATCCAAAAGTCAAGGTGGAAGCAATAAGGCATTTGCAGATATTCGCTGTCTTGAAACAATGCAGTACAATATTTTGATTTTTTTAAAATTAATTTCCTAGATGAATGTGCATGTGGCAGACTTCAAGACAGTGATAATCTGATAAGTGAAACCAGGAAGAAACATGATGAGCGATTTCCCTGGCAGGTATTTCTAGCAATTCATGAAACCCATCACTCAATCTCACGTGGACAGCACTATCTATTTTCTTTTTGCATTTTCCTAGGTGCTACTGCTAAACTCAGAAGGGAAAGGCTTCTGTGGAGGAGTGCTGCTAAAAAGTAACTTCGTATTGACCACAGCAGAGTGTGCTCTTCTGCACAACCATTTTGAAATCAGGGTTGGTGCTGGTAGGTGACCCAACACATTTTCTCTTGTTGCAGTGTATTTTAGTATGGACAAGCTTAATTTAAAAAAAAGCTTACTAAACTTATTGCTGCATGAAAATATTGTTAAAAGAAACAAATATGCTGTCATTTCATTTAAGCACCTCTGTGGTGCCATCTGAGCTATAACTACAGCTGTCCCATACCTCCTTTACAAGCAAAGCAGAGACAGCTGCCTCTCGGACACAATGCAGAACTCAGCACATAGGGATAAGCTAAACATGGTGGATTTAGAGGTGGCTTTTGTTTCATGCCAAAATTCACTTCAACGTTGGATTTTTGTCCTTACTGCTGAAATTATGCACGCTTCTACGCAGCATTGAAAAGCTGTCAGGGTATTATTCCTACTTTCCCTTTACTGCAGTGGTTCTGAGAAACAGCACCTTCAGCTTCTCTGCCGCACGTGTTCCTCAGCACCACCAGGCAGTCTTGCATGCAGCTTACAGGTCTCTGATAAACTACTCCTAAGAGCAGCTGAAATGCCATTGCTTCACAGGGCCTAATGGAACAAGCGGAACTGAGAAGACAATGCAAGTTAGCGAGAAGCACATACACATCCGGTATGATGAAGACACTGGTGAGAACAACATTGCATTGCTACGACTTCAAGAGCATGTTGAGTGCAACAACTACCAGTTTCCCGTATGCACCCCTGAAAGAGACTTTGCAGAACACGTTTTAATTCCAAAATTGGCTGGTACAGTCAGTGGCTGGAGAATGGAAGGTGATGAACTTAAAGTGGATGAGCTGCAGGTTTCGTACCTTCCTGCTGAGGACTGCAAACAAATACTCAACATCAGCCTCACAAACAGGCAGTTTTGTGGGCACCTCCAGAAGGCCACAGACAAACAACTGGCTGGAGGAAGCTTTTTAGCTACCGAGTATAAGGGCACTTGGTTTCTGACTGGTATCCTGGGACCTTGGCCACTAGAAGACACTGACTGGGAAACATTTCTTTTCACCAACACCGCGAGGTATATGATATGGGTTAAACAAAAAATGAAATAAGACACAAACACAACCAACTCTCAAGCACCAAACCCCTACCAATCATTGCAAGGAAACATATGGATGCAGCCAGTACTCCCATCTGACTGTATCACAATTCACAGCAATGGAAGTTTGCAATGATGGCACGTATTTAACTCCAAGTTATACAGAAAAGCCTGTTTGTCTTTCCTTCTTTTGCTGATACGCAGTTCTGTGAAAGTCATGATGCAGTAAACTTAGTTATTTTACTAAAAACTGATTTAACTTTAAATTTATTAGAACTGTTCATCCTAAAACTCAAAACACTTTGACCTTTTTCTGGGATTTTAAATGATGTGAATTGGAAACGAGTCTTTTCAATTCTTGGTATCCTGAGGTTTGCTTCAGCAAATTCATATTCTTATTTCATTATTCATACAAGTAAAACTTACAAGACCAGAGGAACTTCTTCTAAATGTCTGTGTTAATGTAGGACTTCACACTTTCGTCATGCTAAAAAATGCTTCCCCTCATACATGGTACCTGTGTTTTCCCTTATGAATGATGTCCATGTCAGTCAGAGGATAAAATAAAACCCAATTGTAAAACACAGGAAAAGAAAATGTTTAATTTCCTTTTAAAATAATTTTAAAACCCCAAAACTACCACCTCATCAGTTTGGACAAAGTTACATTTTGTACCACTCCCAAACAAGCAAACCAACCAACCCCCCAAGGTAATAACACTTGAAATACTGGATCCAGTGGTAGTGTTTTCCCCAGAAGCAAAATAAACCAGACTCTGGGTAAGTTAGCTACACCATCTTTTGTTCACAATTACAAAAATAAAACAAATATTATCAGAATTAAAAAAAAACCCAAACCCATCTATGGGTACCTACAGACAAACTGCCCACATGTACTTGAACCCGTATGTATTACTGACACAGTAAAGCTTTTGGTGTCAAGCACTTCTCTAGTTTTTAGAGAAAGCTTGAAGAGAATATTTAATACCAGCAAGATTATCCAAGATACTTAAAAAAAAAAGGGAAACCATGTATGAAAACATTATTTCCATTCCAAAGAATGGCTTAACACAAGTAACAAAGGCTGACACTTCTCCCTGAAAGATAAATGCAAAAATAGTAACACAAAGTACTTTATAAAAGCTTTTAAGTAATTTGTGAGGAATTCGGAATGCTTTGCTTTATTTCTTGACGAAATACTTTGAATTATCTAGAAAGCCTGTGGAAATTACGATTTAAAAGTCAGCATTTCATTCCAACGCACTTTGTAACACTGGCAGCCTTGGTCACTCTGGGAAAGGAGCCACAAACAGTTCCTGGTATTCCAGTCCTGGACACGACCCAGGCAATTTACAGTGTCCTTGGTGTGATTAGGAGCAGTTCCACTGGGCAAGCTTGAGTACCCAGCAAGTACTTGCATGGATAAGATGCAATACTCAACACACTGTTGACAGTGGAGGAAATGGGTTCTGCTTACTGACCACAAGCTTCTGATGCTGGTGGGATATGTAGCCCTTAATGTGACCCTGGCAGAAGGAGAAAAAGGGAGCATTAGTACTGGGAGCTGGTAACACAATGCCTATAACCTAAGCAAATACCTACAACCTAACCACAGCAGTGTGTGTATGCTCAACCACCACTGCACTACTGTACTTGATATCTATAAGGGTCCAATTTATGTAAGTGGGTCAACTCGGAGAGTAAGGAGGAAGTTGGAACCACCCCCGTGTTTGGGTACTAGCCAGCCCGCCAGTTTGAGAGCCTCTTGCCAGGGCCCACAATGGGTCTGCTTACATTGCCTTGAAGCTGTGTAAAGCTTACACAGCTTTACAGAAGTGTTTCTAAATTTACTCTTGTTCACTTTAAAACAAGGATTTTAATCAATTAGTATTCCATACCTAATAAACTAAATGACATAGCACTTCCTTTTCAAACATTGTGCTGTAACACTGAAAGAAATCTTCCAGTGACCTACACCACATCAAATAATCTGTTTCAGAGAGATGTGGTTTGTTTTCTTGCTTACACTGCAGTGCTGCTCCAAAACCTCTCATTTAATGAAATCTTTACATTTCAAGCCTTTATCTGCTCATGAGTAGTTGAAATCCCCTTAGAGTAAAAGACAAAATGTGGAACAAACCCAAAGAAATCTGGCTTTATTTTTCTCTAATGTTAGAAGGTCAAGAGTCTCCTACTTCAAATGCAGAACAAATCCTTTCTGGTCCCAGTTAAAATGTTTGTATTTTTAAATCAATATTTATGCATATACAGAGAAAATGTCAGTACCAGATTTGTAATGTGAAATTCAACTTCAATTTTAACTGATTCCTACAAAAAAAAAAGGTAGGAACTAGTGGAAGTCTGCAGGGTAAATGAAAACATTTCACTTTGAGCACAAGCGAATCAACTTTTTTACATAAGAAAATGTAGGATTACTGATGTGGTTTTTGTAATAAACTTTTATTCCCTGTCCAATATTTCTTACTGCCTGATGTCTGAAAGGACCAGACAACAAGTGGTCAGCACATACCATATATATAAGGTTAGCTAAAATGCACTGGACTTCATCAATATCAACATCCTCTACTTGCATGAACTTCAGGGCAATCAGAAAGGCATCTAGAGATAGCTGATGGGTTTTGAGTAGTAAATATCTGGAAAAAATAACAGAACAAATGTGTTACTGAGAAATACTTGAAAATTCTGGTTCTTAGAAAAATGGCCTTTCTACAATAAATTCACTTCAAGAGGAAGTCAAGTCTCTCAGAGGGAACTAAGGAGCATATATATTTTTATCTCAGTCCAAGGTAAAACCATACTATACATGCTTTTCCAAAATATAGGTTTCGTTATGCTTACACTTTCTTAAAGAGATTTCTGTATGTGATGATTTTCAGCTTCTCAAGGATAAGAAAGATTCCACATCGAATGAAGAAGGTCTCATGCTTTGTCAAAGCATCATTTAGTAGGAGAAGATTGCCTTCACTGCAAAGATGAATAAATGAAAAAATGAGAAAGTCTCACCCAAAAGAGAAAAGAAATTCTCTGACTTGGTAGGAATATGCATCCCCTGCCTTCCTCTATGATCCCAAATAAATACCTTTTACTTAATACTTTTTGAACACAAAGCAACAAAACAGGCATCATACCTCACAGACTTTGTTACTTCAGCAAACTGCATAAGGTCATACTTTTTTAAGAGCTGAACTGTTGGCATATGGCCCTGAAAAATAAATGGTTTCCATGTTTTCCAGGGTAAAGTCAAATGCATTTTAAACAGAATCTACTAAGCTACAAAAAAAATTGTTAAGAGAAAAAGACAAATGTTTAGCCACTTTGTTTTTTGCTACAGAATAAGAAGTGAATAAAAGCATTTGTAGGAAAACCTTCTTGTCCATGTCAAACACCTTGTAGCTCAACTCACAACTACTGATTTAGAGAGTCTTCATACTTATTGTTAGGGAACAGCTATCAGATTTGTAAAATCAAGATCCCATGCCATGAGGCTGATGTAGATTCAAATTTTATGCCATGACTGTATGATCTAATCTGCAACCAGAAGAACTGTGGGAATACCAAGCATTCCCAAGGGAATACAAACAGTGCTGCAGCACTGTCAAATGCCAGCTCAGTCTGTAGCAGAGATTTTATTCTCTGCTTCCATGTGGAAATAAAAATGACCTTTCAAAAAACAAGCACCACTACCAACCTCCTTTCCCCCTTGCAAGAAAAAAGAGAGAGAGAAATGTTAAAGAAACAAAATTAATTCTCATTGCTGAATCAGGTAAGACTGAACTATCTACACCATCTAAAAGAAACTTTGGTTTTTCCCCGTGCACAACAAAGATCAGATTGCACATTGACTTGGTCAGACTTTAAATTTAGTTACATCATGCTATGCTGTTGGTAACTCCTTTCTTGGATGGAGGATTAGCTGAGAGCAGAACTCAGCTGCATGTTTACTTGAGAGCTGCTAGGAATTAAAAGAAACAATATCCAAGCTATTTTAGTAGAGTTTAAGGTTAATGTTTAGGCTCTGATTTAAAAAAAGTAACTGTAAAAACAGTGACCTTCAGCTAGTTTCTTTAGTGGCTGTTGTACATTAGAACTGCTCCAGAAAAGCCACAGTAATTCTAGGCACTACCAAACCCACCAGTTTAGGGCACCCACTCAAGACTGGGAGAAAGTTTTTAAGACTGTTAGTTTTCCTTTATCAACCCTACCATTGATTGATCTGAAAGTAACCAATAACAAAGTCAATAAATAAAAAACGGAAAAGAGAAGGCAATTATCATACCCATTGGACACAGCAAGGGACTGGTAAGGGAGCATTGAATGGAAAAGGGAGAGTGGTCACAAATAGGTTGTGGCAAAGGTGAAAGATGGTCACTCAACAGAGGCAGGTGATAACAACATTCTCCATGTGTACCTTTTGTAACAGGGCTGGGAAGAGGAAACTCTAAAGTCTAGTTCTTGTCCCCTTGGTTACACTGAATTAATTGTTAGCATAATCCCACTAGTTCAGGGATACACAAATGTTAACACAGCACATGGGAAAGGACAGGAATTAGAAACAGATGTGTTTCATTCTTTTAATAGAAATACAAAATGATCACATACTAGCCAGCCTTCAGTGATTCTTTCAAAACCAAAATGCTCTACCTCATGACCCTTCTGACATGGGCAAATATACAAGGTGCAAATAGAAAACTCAAAGATAGGCTGTGGCTGTGACAAACCCCTCTCAACAGTCCTCAGCCATTTGTTTGTACATCCTCCTTCCTTCCACTAGGTAAAAGAAGCAGATCAATTTGTCCCAGTGAATCCACACATTCCCTGGCTTGTCAGTGCAGCTGATAACCAGAGATACACACTACTACATGACAGAAGTTACACTGTTACTTGGTTCTCCACAGAACTTAAAGATATCTTTCTTTAGAGAAGTATCATCAGATTGCACCTTCAGGAGGGGTGGGAGTAAGGTAGGGGGAATGGAGGGACAGGTTGGTTTTGTTAAGGTGGGCAGGGTAGGGATTTGTTTGTTTGGCTGTGTTTCCACCCCCTCATTTCTCCTTTCCTGTTTTGCTATAAATGACAGCTCAACGTTTTTTATCCTCAAACAACAAAGTGTGCATATGCTGGCTCTTACAGGGGTAAAACACAGCCTCTGAATTCCAGTAAGGGAAAACCCAGAACAATACTGAGCATCAGGTTTATTATCTGTGTCTGTCCCCCTCCCCCCATTATTTAGAAGAGTAACATCTACTCACCAACAACATTTTTACTGGCAGCAGGTAGATCAAAATCATTCTTTTATTCTTCTGGCTTGATCGGTGACAGTGCTCAAAGGCAAATGACAGGTACTCTTCAGCTGCAGGTACAAATAAGCACCAGTAACATGAGTCAACAACGAAAAAGGGTTAAAACTGTAACCCAAATTCTGTGCTCAATTTCCACCTCTAGCTTGAACATGACATTTGAAATAATCACACCAATCAAAAAACTGGAGATTCACACAAAATACAAAGTATTACCAGAAAAGTAAGTTTTCCTTCAGGAAAACTTGCCAAGGTCTAGATGTCAACATAACAGCTACAAGCAATATTAGAATTTTCAGCTCATTTCAGTAATATTATTGTGCTCCTATTACAGGAGTAGAGAATCTCAAGAAGCACTGATGATATAGCACTCTATTTTCTAAATTCAGATTAGATTCTTCAGTGGATGAAAGCTGCACGCAATGCACACATCTGCTGAGCTGCAGAAATGTGCCAGTAAGACTACACAGCATAACAGGAAAATCTCCCAGCACTTTCCAACAATAGATAAAAATTATAAGCCTGACAGGCAGAAGACACTGTTAAGAGTAACAAAATAGCTCCAGAATAGATTTTGGTCAGGGGTTTCAGTTAATGATGAAGTTATACACCTTACCTCTAGAAGCATTTCTACTTATGAAATCTACTAGAAATCTATGAAAAGCAGTTTCTACATCTTCCAGAATCAATGCACCTAATATCTACATTACAGTTTGCTGAAGATTTCCTACATGGCACACAGCAACATAAAGAGGACAAAAGAGCTGCAAAGCCTCCTTTGTGAAACCTTTTACAAACCTATTCTTCTGAATGCTCATAAATTTTGTAATGCACAAACATAATGCTTAAGACTACAGGGAATCTCACTGACACAAATATTTTAAAACTACAGTTAGAAGTGTCACATAATCTCATCTCTGTTCTGAGTCAGCCTGTGGGCCTCGTACCTTTCAGCATGACTTTCCTTTAATTTGTGCAAACACAACTGCACCTTCTACTCATGTTTTGAGTCACATGCAACATCAGCCAGATTTCACACCAAGAAAGTGTCTTACTGGTACACAGTACCTTGCTTAAAGTCACTGTCAAACATGGCTTTGCGTCCAACATAATATTTGTATGTAACTCGCTGTGCCATACTATATTCGTCCTTCAGATTTGAGCTGTCAATTGCTCTAATTAAGGGCTTACACAGATGGAGTTTGTTGATCTGTTAAAAAAAAAAAAGCATTTTACTTAAAGAGTGTAGAAAAACAGCATCTTATAAAAAGGATGGGTTTGACTTAGAATATGAAATACAAAACATAGCTTACCAGACTTGAACCCTACCTTAAAATAAATTTTAAACAGCTGATTCACAAGAAACAACATGCCCCACTTTTTGGAGTCTTCAATGCCTGCTCGACTGTCATAAGCAAAAAGAAAAAACCTACTAGTACAGAACCCTTTAAGAAAATAACTATTTTGTCTTTATAGTAAAATTACTCAACAGATATTTTATGGATTTTTAGGGTTAACATAAGTGTCTAAAAATAAAAGTCAATGCGAAATTCCTTAAACTCTTTATGTCTTAAACCGTATCAGCACTATCAAAATAGAACATGTGTTCCCATATTAATACCTCTGCTACATTTTTTCTCAACGCCATGAAAAGATGTCATACAAAGTACTATTCATCTGCATGAGGGCTCTCACTCTAGTCTGCAGGTAACACATACACTAGCACAGCAGTGACTTATAATATTTGAGATGAATGATTGGGAAAAAAGCATTTTTCCACTTCAGAAGTGTTAAAATTGCAAAGACTGGAAACCCAAGTTTTCATCTTTCATTAGGCTTTTCCATCTAAGCCTAATGGAGCAAACTTCACAATTGAACAGGGTACAAAAGCACTAATCATATTTTCTGAGAAACAAGGACATAATCAGTCCCTCCCAACAACATCTGCTACCAATGCAACCTATGCTATGTACCAATGCTACCAATGAAGTGAGTGCTCTCCATCTCTAGTTAATAGTCAAGAGAGAATAGACTAAAAATTACAGGAAACAAGAATCAGAAGTCTTCATTCTTACCCATATATGGCCTTAGGAAGCGGGAAACACAAGTTCATTAAGTTCTTAACAATTTAATAGTGCATGTTCTATAGAGGGTTTTTCACTTACGTGTCACTGGCACAGACTCGAAAACAGCTCATCAGTAGTTCTGCTGCTTTTTCCAACATGTCGCCAACCTTGCTTTTCCCTTTCTTCACAAGCTGTTGATCTGCCTAGAATTACACAGCAAGAAACAATATGTAATTCTACGTCCCCGTTTGCTGGTTTGCAAACAGTTTAGTTCCTTAATATTGCATTTTATAAAGTATTATAGCAATAGATTTGCCATGCCTGCTGTCTCCCAAATCTAGAAGGCAGTCAAGCTCACACAATAAAAGAAAACACTTGGAGAGGCTCCTCGACATGTACCAAACCTAATGCCCAGGAGGACAGTCCTTTGAAAATACACAGGTCTCAGAAACCTAAATTCAGGTTCAATACCTGAACTGGAGCATTAACACTTCAACTCAAGTTTACAAAGACCAAGAGTCTGGAAAAAATTATGGAGTTTGAGTTATAGAATTCATTAGTCAGTTTCTCTCCACAGCCATGAAGACTAGATTTTATTTCTAAACAATATTCAACATTTTCCAGTAGTAATGCACAACACTGAGAGCTGAGACTTCCAGAAAAAACATAAAACCTATGTTAGAGTAGCAAGAGGAAAAAAAAAGAACTCAGTTGTCAACACACGGAAAAGATCCATGCACTGACTAATGCAGAACTTCAACAGAAAAAACATAGCAAGTAGGTATTTATTACTTTCTAAAAAGTTTTAGTATAATGCTTGCATTCTCACTAGCTGAAACAAAGTAAAGGAATGGAAATTCATCCTCTGCTGCAGAAGTCTTCTCTGCATCCACATCCTTTGAATATACTACGGTTAGAAGACAGAGTCCAAACACTTCCAATACGACTGATTCAACATTCCCCTTTCACGTGCATCACGTGCATCTCAGATATATGGATTTGCCTCATTCAGACTGAGAACTGAGCCTTGTTACAGAGCAGTCACACACACGAAAGATATTCTCTGTGCAAGCATGCCATGTGTGTGGTTTCGTGGGTAAGAGTGGTAAGAGCACAAGAGAGTGCTGAGTGGATATTATTAAAAACACTGGATATTATCAAACTCTAACCTTATTTGAACTTTAGTTCATCTCTTCAGGTAAAGTGACTAGGAGCAAATCACAACTCTGCCACTTAGCTTGGCCTAGCAGTTCTCCATAGATCTCTACACAAGCTACTTCAATTCACCAGCATAAGAAAAATAATGTAAATTTGGGGATTATTTGCATGTCAGCAGTTGTATAGCTCAGAAAGGGCTCCAATGAGCATCAAAAGCAGTGCACACAGCTGGAAAAGGGGAAAGGAACAGAAACTCCCCTCCTCAGATGTGGTGAATGGTTAGAATAGCTCAGTTGTCTGTGATAACTGCATCCTTATAAAGATTTCAACCAAATCCCAAGGATAACACACAGAAATAGTGAGTTGTGGCATATGCTACTCAATAAAGAAAGTACTCAATCCCTTCATCAGCTCTCAGCAACCACTGGGAGTTGCATGCAGGTCCTCAGAACCCCTCTAGTTCAAGCTGCAAACGACAGACAGACAGACCGAGCAACATCATTTTTCAATAGCACTGGATGAATTTAGTGCGACAACAATATCCTAAATGATGAGTTTATGAACAAAATTAAGTTGTGCAATAAAGTCTAAAAAATTTCCATTGTAGAAATACCGAAAAATAAAAGCAATGAGATTGTTAATCAGATCTACTTACATTATTAGCAAAAATTCGAAGATCAAGGGCTACAGCATACATAATAGGTAAGGCCCTGGAAAAGTAAAACATAATATACTTAGTATATGCAAATCATACAGTAAGTAAAACACGAGAAGAAAAGCTATTTTTCTTTGTTAGTTGATCATAAAACCAGAAAAGTATACATTAATCTTTAAATAAAGACGGATGCACTTTTTAAAAGGAAAGTTCTTCAAGTTCTCAGCATTTCATAAATCCTACACTGGAATTATTATTTCTGAAGCCTTTTTTAATGTGAATTCTTAAAATACCAACTCCCTTTAAAAAAACTCTTCACATGTTCACTTATGGACCATTCTACATAATTAGGTGCAGATGTTTAATTTTCACGTTTTTGATCATAAAAACTAAAACATGAAGCAAAAGCAATTAGGTTGGATTTAAGCATCACTAGGAATAAACAAACATTATAGGCATAATTTTATTGTATTAGTATGATATTAGAGGGAAAAGATGAGTCTAGTTTCTAGTAGCTTTCTACGATGTACTCACCAATTTTCTTCTTTATGTGCCTGAAATGCCCGCAGGAAAGACGTAATGTATTCAGGAGAATTTAAAATACCATGACATGAAGCACATATTTAAGAAACAGCAGTTGATTGGTACCACATATTACTACATGAAGGACTAGAAACCAAAAAAGCATCAAGTAGTTCAGCAGTCAGGATGCAAAGACACATTATGGAAGAACATGAGCACAGCCATGCACTCCTTCATGTGGCAGCAGCAGCAGCAAGAAACACTGGCCAGAGATAAAAAAGAAGCTTCTTTATCATTATTTTCCCCTCTAGCCAAGTAAAAACTGCAAGGTATATTAATGATTTGAGTTTCTCCTATACTCTGGGAGAAAATAATTTTCTATTTGAGAGCCAAGTGACAGATTCCTTCTTAGCGCTACAGAAAGTTGAAAGAAGAGATTTCCTTGCTTAGGAACCTAAGCAGCTGAAGTGGAAGCAAATCACATCCTATTAGATTTTTATAAGGCATAAGGAGAACTTATTCTACAAGGAGACAGAGTTAATCTGAAAACAATATACAAGATTTATGGAAAAGGATATTGGACAATAACTGTCTGGCATTTGTAGGCTTCTATAAAGTCATGGTTTCCAACAGCATAAGTACACCTGTCAAAGAAAAGGTGCATTAGTGCATCGGAAAATAGATGTAAAACAAATATTTCTTTTTGTCTCTTAACAGGCTTAAAGATTTACAGTTTATTTAAGAGACACAGAAATGTGATTAGAATATTCCAAACAAAATGGCACAAGCATTTTAACAGAGCACTAAGCTTGATAATTGTAGAAAACTGATCCAAGAGATCGATGAGGATTTGCTTTATTAAGCTAATGTTTACTGAAATGGTCACCAAGATTAGATAAAAAACAGAAATCCAAGACTGTTGAAAGATAACTAAAGACTGTGTTAATGCAGATTTTTTTTTAATAAAAGTCTCAAGAATTACTTAAGTACTGCAGCTGTCCTAAGAGTACTTTTATGACCAAAATTCCCTTTTAAAAGTGTTTATTTCTCTTATTTATTTCATTGAAAATTCTTATATAGCTAGTACACACAGAGCAAGGGAAACAGTGAAACCAAAGCTGTGCCAAAGGCTATATGCAGACGACTGCCAGATGGGTAGAGCAAACTTTATATGGAGAGGAGAGAGAAAGTCTTTATTTCCTGCAGCTCTTGCATTATTTTTAAGAGTAATAAATACCAAGTTTCCAGATGCAAGCCCTTTAAAACAGGTAAGTAAACTTAAGGATATCTTCTTCCCCAACCCTGGACATTTCAGGCCTATCTTTACCTTAAGTGGGCTGCAAACATTTCATCATATGGTGGCTCCAAAACTTGTTGACACTTTTCCTCTGGAGATGGAAGCTAAGTATAGAATAAAGTGAAATGTTAAAAGAACATCCAAGGCACCAGAAACAGAGCATCATATGGATATTTTGTCATGGCGGTTTTCACAGAATTGTTAGGGTTGGAAGGGACTTCTGGAACCCATCTGGTATTGTGGCATCTATCAGAACCTTAAGTTATATTAAAAATCACATTCAGTGCAGTGAATTGCTACTGTGCATTCTGTCTCCAGAACCTAATCAGAGCCAGCTTTAAGTAAAGGCATCTGAGATGCACCAGGCTCTTCCTTCCCACTGCTTTTTTTCTTTATAGTCACTTCCACTCTGTCATGTTAATAACTAAGGCAGCCCTGGTGAGAAAGGACTTTTAAGACTGTACCTATACAGAACATGAAGAGCCATTCATGAAACAAAATAATTAAAAAAAAAAGAAATATAGAATATCCCTGTAAGAAGAAAACAGAAGCAAAACTACAAGGGGATCCTGCTCTGGCCTATGAAACAGGTTTCTGAGGTTTATAGAAATAGAAAAGGAACCCACATAGAAAGCCAAGAAAACTGAAAGCAGAGCAAAAGAAAGGTCAAAACTAGATTCTCACCTGTAGTCTTGGATTTGCTACATGTGGATGTTTAAATGATACTAATTCTGCACAAAATTGTCCATCTCTGCTGTCAATGGCTTCTTGTACCTACCAAAGTAAACAGCATCATTACAGAATAAAATCCAGCAACACACACACACAACATATTTACACAACTACAGAAGCCACTTCCTTGTTACCACTGTTCATCCTCATTAATACAAACTCAAATCTGAGTTTTTAAAGGTTTAAAACTGAATGAGTAATCTTGTATTTTCAATAAACCTGTTTTTCAAAAAGGTCCCAGAGAAAAGGCAAGGTGAACACTATTGTGGTTTTTTCCTTATTTGTAGGATACAAGCAAACCAGAGGATCCCCATACAGAGTACATGGGCTTAGCATCGTGAAACAGCAGCTGTGACCATATTCCAGTTGGACTCAAGGGTATCAAACACGTATGTGAAGTTACAGTCTTGGAGTAATGCTTTAGAATAAAGTGAGGCAGACCTAAGATGTAGATATCATTTCAAAGGCAATATCTGATATTAGACTGGCATCTATACAGAACACTTTTGAAATCTGTTAAGAGTGTAAGTGTTATATTCTGTGGGAGAATGGTTTAATTCTGCTTCTTGCTAAAGATAATTCCTTGTAAACATTAGTCTGCCTGAACAGTTTATTGTGAAATTTCTTCAGTTGTAGAAGTAGTTTTAAATATTACTTCTTAGGAGTTCACTTCCCGCTGCTTGTGCTTTATTTGTCATATTTTTGTGTCCTGATACGGAAAAAAAAATCTTTTTGCTGTATGGAAAGTTCCTATCAAATGGGAAAAAATTATAGACTAAAATATTAGCTAAAGAGGAAAATCAACGGCTTGAGTTCTTTCAAAAATTGACAGGGATTTTTTTCCTTCAGGAAAAAGGAGACCTAATTTTGTGGCGTTTAAGTAGTTTTTTTCCATTAAATATTCAACATACTGTCAACTGGACAGGACGGTAACTTTTCAGAGCAGATCATTGTCCAGAGCGATCTCAAGATGCTCCATTTTTGGAGACTAAAACCCCAACAGTTGCTCTCTTTCCGTGCTCTTCACTTAATTGACTTGACTGCTGTCAGGTGAAGTAAGAGAATAATGCTGAGAATCCAGTGGTCCAGAAAAGAACCAGCAGGAGTGGACACTAAAAGCTGACAGTTCAGTCCAAATGGTGTCCCTATGATTCTGCTCCCGTCTCTCTATCCTCCCTGCCATACACTCGGTGTCTCCGCATTTCTGATCTTAAATCCCTGTGCCTGCCGAATCCCTGAGCTGCCCCTGTTCCTGCACGCTCCCACCGTCCCTCCGTGCCGGTTCTCACGGATTAATTACCCCGCTACCCGTTACATCAGAAACCATCACACCTTTCGGGCATTCCAGGCACAGGCCCTCGGCACTCAGACGGCGTGCTTCACACAGAGCGAAGATATGTATTTCTTCGCCACATCGCTCGTTCTATTTCTTGAACGAGGCAACCTATTTACAGCAACACATTTACACCCACACACTCAAACGGTGCCCACAAATTAATTTTAAAAAAAATATTAGAAAAAAATCTGGCTTACTTGCTGCAAATACTGGTTTATGGTGATGTGGGCCATTAGAGCGTAGGCAAGGCAAGGGTCCCGACTCTCTCTCACTCTCCGAACTCCCGGCGCGCCGCTCCCCGGAACTCCTCTCGCGCTTCCGGCACCCGCCGACGCGGGTCACGTGACAGCCGCCCGACTCCACCCCCAATCGCCGCTACGGCGCTCTGCCCCGCCCACAGCGAAGGCGGGGGTGTGGCTTAGCATTGGTAGCCAATGGGAAAGCGCGGTGGGCGGGGCAGAGGGGGCGCGTCAGGGATAAGCCGCGTGCGCTGGGGCGCGCTGGGTGTTTATAGGCGTGTGGCGGGTGTTTGTGGCTGTGGGCATCGTAGACCCGTGGTCAGCCATGTACCGTCGGCTCGTAAAGGTGGCGGGCAGAGCGTTCCGTGAGCCCCGTGTGGGACAGGACCCCCTTAGCAGGAGATCCCAGTTACTTGCCCGCTGGGGCGCCCTCCTCGCTGGCAGCGCTCCCGGGAGTCGCGCTGCCCGCAGGGAGCCCTACGCGGGGGCTTTGCTGAACTTGGGTCAAAAAAGTTGAATCGAGCATTTAACTCTTGAAAAGGCTGCTCCTAAAGGCACTAACGCCATGGAAGTGCGTAAGACAAGGCCACGCTCTATGCCCGGGCAGGCTGGACTCGGTTGTCTGAGCCGGGCTGGGGGGAGCTGGTGAGCGGGGCTGGTGGCTCTTTTGGACGGGATACGCGGCTGCTCTTTGGGTCCTGCTCCGGCCGCCCCTCGGCGGGCACCAGCAGGCATAGCCGGGAGAAGAAGCGGCGGACGGCGAGGGGCTGCGAGACGATGGCGAGAGGAGCTGTCGCCGCCCGCTCGCCCCGCGGGAGGCTGTCCCGGCCTGGGAGCCATCTTGTGAGCGGAGCTGCCACTGCCCGAAGGCCACGGGCGGCCCGGACCGGGGCACAGACGCGGACCCGCATGGCGAGCCGGCCGCCAGGGTGCCCGGGACAGGCGACTGTCGGTGCCTCCCGGCCCAGCGGAGATTGGCAACCGCCCGCGGGCAGTGGGGGAGGGCGGCTGGGTGGCGGCGGAGGAGGAGGAGGGGAGCGGAGGCGGGGACCGGGCGGCCCCGGCCCGGCCCAGCCCAGCCCAGCGCGTTGCCCCGGCCGGACACGGCGCCCGGGGCGGAGATGGCGGACGAGCCGCAGAAGAAGCCGCACTTGTCGGCCTTGGTGGGGCACACCAACGGGCTCACCAAGCCCGCCTCGCTGGCCGCCACCGCCACCCGCGCCGCGGGAGGAGGAGGAGGCGGAGGCGCGACCGCCTCCTCCAAGAAACTCGTGATCAAGAACTTCAGAGGTGGGTACGGGGCAGGCCGGGCCCTCTGCCCCGGCAGGTGCGCCTGGCCCCGCCGCTCGGCCCCGGCCCGACCTTTGTTTACCGCGGCCCCGGCCGCTCCCCGCGCCTCCCCCGCGGCCGGGCCGGCGGGGCCCCGCCGCTGTCACCCGCCCCGCCGCCTTATCGGGGCGAGGGGCGGCTGCCCCGAGCTGATACCGCGCCCGCCGCTGGCACCGTGCCCGTGCCAGGGCTCCCGGGGACACGCGTGGGGCTCCGCGCGCGGGGGCAGCGGCGGCTGCGCCCTGTGGGGAGCGGGCAGAAAGCCACCTTAGTGTCAGCGCTGATTAGAGCCAGGCGAGGGTGGTTACCTCGCTAAAAGTAACACGGGCGTCACACGCAGCAGCCGGGGGTCATATGCGTCGTGCAAAGGTTTGGTCGCCTCGGGTGGAATTGGTGACCCCTCTGCCAGTGCCAGAGTTACACAGTCAAGCACAGCATGGCTTGGCAGGACTCGGTGGAGCAGGGTGAGCGAGATCACTGCAGACTCGTCTTGGGTGGCTGTTTTTCAACTAGTTGTGTCTTACTTCACAGAAAGACCCAAATTACCCGAGAATTACACTCACGACACCTGGCAAAAACTTCATGAAGCAGTGGGAGCAATACAGAGTAGCATTTCTATTAAATACAACCTCGAAGAGCTCTACCAGGTAAGGCACGTAGGGTTTTAGTTTTCATTTCTGTGAATGTAACAGAAGGCAAATAAACTGCTTTGGGACTTTCACAGAGCACGCATTCAGCATGGTGTAGTTTGATTTGTTAAAAGCTGATATATATTTTTTGAACACTTTGCTCCATGCTCCATTTCTAGTCAGTTTGCAGTTTTATATATCAGTGCCTTGGAGAGTTACCAGGATCTCAGCCCAAGAAAAAGCAGTTTATGGGGGGAGACAAAGAAATCTATTCCTGGGCACAGCTGAGATTTCTCTTAGTATCTTCAATAGTCTGTCTATTCAACATGCTGAAAATGGGATGTTCCTCTAACTGGCTTATGAATTTATATATTTTATAATGATTTTTGTACATGGTATGGTCTCTTGTAAATAGTGAAGCTGAAATGTTTGCTATTATTAGATAATAACATGACACTTCAACATCAATACTGCTTGGGAAATTGAGAAGCAATATCAGTTGAGCAGAAACAAACTGTCAGTTTACCCATGTTTCAGATTACTGTTACATTTACATAACAATCAGGATCTTACTTTTTTATTCAAGTGGTGCAAAAGTATTTCTGGAACATCTGGACTAATGGAGCAGGGACTAGGAAGGGTAAAAGAGACATACTCATGAGCCATTTCTTTCTACTTTCTCAATTTTTATGTGATTTAATTCTATATTATTTTAAATGTATGTACTTTGAGGTATTTAACTGAAGTAGTGGTTTTTTACAGTGAGCATGTTATAAAAAATAGCCAATGCACTAAGTTGTGCTACCCAGCGTAAGTTAGTCACAAGTTTTCTGTGGATGTAGATGTTTGATCTGCAGATGCCCCATTTGTTGATGCCCTTGCCAGATCAGGACTTAAGATACCATTATGCTCACCTGACACTTTCTCGGAGTTCGGTTGAGGTAGGTTTTAATGTTATCTGCAAAGTGCAGACTTTGAGAGAGAGAAAAGGGTCAGCAGTTCATATTGGGTCCATGCTCAAGGAAGTCAGGCTGATTTTGAAAACTGACTGTAACTGTACTTGTCTCTGTGATTAGTTAGGGTGTATAATATATGGGTCTAAAATGGGTGATTATGTACATGTATATTGACTTGATATAATTTATTCCCTTCAAATAGAAAAATTGACTGTGATGTATTTATCTATCAATACTTGCAGCTTTGCAGAGTTTGGATTGCATAATACATTTTATCATTTTAAACTCAGCATTTCAAAAATCCTGCTTTTTCATGCCTAGCTAAAAAAAAAAAATCCTACAGATGCTTTGAGCATTACCTAACTTGTTTTCAGAGGCTCAGAAATGAGATTATAGTAATATGGGTATGAAATCGCTGGGGTACAGACTTGAGTTTTAGCAGAAGAGGAGAAGAGAGATTTTAGATAAACTGTGAAGGGAGAACTGTACTTCTTGCTTTTTCCCTTTGCCTGCTTGTTTGTAAAAACTGCACGAGGCTGGTCGGGTAATCAGTGAGGCAGCAGATCAGCAAGATTTCTGCCCAGAGGGGGGTGGCAGTCAGTGTTCCCGTGCACAGACAGGTACTTACGTGCCAAAGGAATAAAAGATGAGGTTCAGCATCCATTGGAAACCTGATCTGTACTTACAGATCGTTTTAACTGCCTGTTGGTGAGCACAGTGTGCATAAGTTCTTAGTATCGGGGCGCCTTTTTTTTTCCCTTTTTTTTGTTATGGAAGGAAGTGAGAGGCCTGGTAGAGTTCAGTGCAGTGAGCAGGCTGGGGTACCAGCCTGTCTTTGAACTTTCTGATTTATTTATTTAATTTGGCTCAGTGGCTGAGGAGAAACCAAAGAACAATGACGAGGCTTTGTGGGAAGCCTGAAGGCTACTCCTTTCCAGGCATTAGAGGCAGCATGGGATCAGGCATGAAGGTGATTGGCAGAGACATAGTCAGTGAGCAATTGGAGGGTGGCAGCCAATTTTTTGTGACTAAAATAGAAATTATGTCTGGGATTGGTGGTAGATTGCATAGGTTTTGATAGAAGTAGCTTATACTTGGTGGGATAGAGAAAGTGGGGCAGTTTGAAGAACTGAGGAATGAGTGATAAAAATAATGGGAAAAAAAATTACCTTTGCAATGAGGCCCTAAATAACCTGAAATGGGGCACCACTGTCCTTCTGGAGGACATAGAATAGGGCAGTGTAGTAGTAAAGGAAAAAAATGTTATGAGTCCTGACTAGACTTTTATTTGGATGAGTGCATAGGAAAAGCTGTGTCTGAGGAAATATAACAAACTATCTGCAAATCCAAGTGTCATTTTTCTTACCTGTTTTAAGACCAGATGAAAAAACCTGTAATATCACCGTGTGATAATTTTGTGTATACTTTAATGTTGTATCAAAATTGAGAAAACCATTTTTATGTGCATTTAAATAAAATGACATTAGGTAGATGTGAATTACCCCATGGGGAGAGAGCTCTGTGAGGCAGATTCACTTTATGTTTTGGAAGACAAACTCTTCAGTATGTTAGAACCTATAGAGGAAATAATACAAGAATTAGCAATAACTTGCATGCTAAACCTTAAAACAGAAGCCTCTGCTTCAAACAAGTTATTAAAAGGTTGATTTGAAACAAACCTTTTACTAGATCTGTGGGGGTGAAGAAGCTAAAAGTGTCATCTCTCTGGTATTTTTGTAGATGTGATTATTACTGTATGTTTTTTTTTCAAACTAAGTATATGCAAGATGAATAAAAGTCAAATCAAGTTTCTTCAGAAGGAGAGGCAGGAAAAGCTGAATTAAACAAATACTGAATAAGGAGGAAATTACTTGATTTCATGCCACCCAAAAATAAAAAAAAAAACCAAAAACCGAAGCAGGAACAGGTGGCAGTGAGGTGGTATGGCTGCTGGTTGTAATTCGCTTTAAGCCAGCGCTGTTGCCCAAGAAATCATAAAATGGTTTGGGTTTGAAGGGACCTTAAAAGATCATCAAGTTACAACCCCCGTCTCATGGGCAGGGCACCTTCTGTTAGACCAAGTTGTTCAGAGCAGTTCTGTTTTTCCTCTCACCTCTCCCTTGGCCTGTGCACTTGCTAGCCCATGTGTTTGGGTGATCTTAAACTGAAACAGAGTGAAGAACACTTAGTAATGCTTTGATAAAGAATTACATGCTGGCATTAGGCACCATAGTGTTTCATAATACAATGAAGTAAGACACTAAAAAAAGCTAGAATTTGGGGAAAAAAAATCCATAAAGGCTTAACACTGCAAAAATTGTCCAAGTTGATTGATGTTACCGGAAAATTTATCAACAAAATGTGACACTGTAAATCGTCTGGAGTGAAGGAAAACATTCCTGGGTTAGTTCTAGTTGCCCAGGTGACATAGTGCTTTAAATCTTTGGCAGTGTTCTCTGCAGTGTTGCCTCATGGCATAAAGGCTGTTGCCATTAATATAATGACTACAAGAACGTTTGATATTGGGCAGAATTGGTCTCCTTAGTTAACTAAGGATAAATACTAAACTAAATTCTCTGAGCTCCCGATAAATCAATTAAAGTCTTTATATAATGGTTAATATGGGATTGAGGCTTTTTTTGGGGCAGGGGGGATGCTGTTAAATTATTTTTTCTGCTCAGTTTATATACCTTAGTGTGAGTATGTGAATCAGTGCAAATATTTGGAATGAGATAAATTGATAAAAAGACAAGAAAGTAACTGTTCCTCATTTACCATTTAGAGAGACTGGTTGAAATATCTACCTTACAGTTATTAAGAAATTAAAATACTTGGTATGATTGTGTTACCCCTCCAAAAAAAGCACGTGTGAAGGATGCACAAAATGGACCTACAGGAGGAAATCTGCTGGGCAGTATTGGGGAAGGTTGAGTTCTGGTAATATTTACAACACATCTGAAATATGACCCAGATTGTGATGGTTTTGTTTGCACACAAAATGTAGCAGAATAAGAAGGGACCAAAATCAGAAAAGAGTCATGAAGTCCTAATTTTTCTACAGAATTTCATTTTGCTATTTTGTTTTTATGCACATTGAACAAATAATACTGAATTTTTTCCTTTATTGTCAGTGTAAGTTACACAGACACAAAAATTTGAGGTTTTCTTTGTCTCATTCATCATCTTTTGGTTTTTTTTAGGCTGTTGAAAATCTCTGCTCTTACAAAGTCTCTGCTACACTGTACAAACAGCTGCGACAAGTCTGTGAAGAACATGTGAAAGCACAAATCCTTCAATTTAGAGAATATCCTTTTGTCGTGCACAGAAATGGTTAGAATGATTAGTTTAAATCGTTATTTTTTTAAGACAACACTTTGTAAAAATTGCTCCAGTAATTTTTTGTGTGTTAGAGAGGTTCTTTGACTACTTACATATTTTCAAATTGGGCATAAGCAACTTTAGTCATCTGGGTGAATAATTTTTGTGTACCTGTAAGTAGCATGCTAATAAGAATTTACTTATAATTTTAATAGGAATGCAAATTTTACACCTAGTCTATAAAATTTCAGTAGCACTATGCGATTTCACAGCAGGTATAAATTTCTATGGCGGGTGAGTAGTAGAGATGCTTATGGTAGCAATAGCTTAAAAAAATACAGTGATTTTTTTTCAACAACAGGAAGAGAATTCTCAAACATAAACATTTGACCAATAATAACTAGTGTTCAGCAGCAATGTGTCACAAAGACACTCAACAAGCCTTCAGATATCCTATGTGCACCTTGGGAGGTTCTTGTGAGAGAACTCTAAGTTCAGAAGATCATTTGGGATACACAGAAATGTAATTTGGTAATTTTCCCCTTTGTTTTCTGGAGTTACATTGCTGAGTTTTTCTTCTGTCTCAGTGGGTCACAGAAGTGCCTGTAGATCTTCTGTGGACACCTGGGTGCAGCCGACCTTGTGGTCTGAATCCAGTCAAGCTTTGCATGCTGAAAAGGTGCTTTATATGATAGTTGTATTTTGTGTAATAGCCTTGGGTCTGCGCTTTGTTGGGCAGTAGAGTCCCTGCTCACCTTGCTGTCCCCACATCCCTGCAAAGTGCCTTAGCAAGCAGATGCTGTATGGAGAGTGCCATACTGAACAGATACTACAGTACTGTGACTGCTGGCAGTGTTTCCCAGGTCTCTCTATGTATTTCAGTAGCAGCAATTGATAGGATAAAAGGAAAGAAAAAGGGGACTGGGACCCAGAAAGAACGTTCTTTCCAGGTGAATGCTTTAAATGTGCTTTAGATTGTGACTCTCAGTTTCTCACTTCACTGCATTTCCCAGATAGATGCCTACAGTCATAAAGAAGCTAATTTTTTCTTCCTGTTACATAGCTAAGTACTAACATGGGTTTGGGTCATAAGGTTTTGTGGGTTTTTTTGTTTGTCTGTTTTGTTTGTTTGGGTTTTTGTTTGTTTTTCTGAGTCCAGTTTAAGGAGTCTCGCTTCTACACAGCACATTAGCCAGTATATTAGTCTCTTAAACATACCTGATCTCTGAGAACCAAATCTGCTTTAAAGCAGAGTACAGTCAACGATTTTTTGCCTCCCTGCTTTTTCAGACTTTAGATTATCTTATGAAGAGATATTTTAAAACTTTGCTTTCACCCTGCCCTCTTGACAAAACTGGTGGATTGGGGAGTTGAGGATTTTGTATTTTACAGGTATATCACTTTATATCCCAAGGACATGAGATCAGATTAATCAGATTTGGCCAGAATGAGTTGGAGATGATAATGTGTGGGAGGGGAAGGTAAAGCCTCATTTGGATTTACTCATATGACACATGAAAATTATTTTATTTTTGAATAACAATTGGATCTGTTGTGTAATGAAGAAAAGTCTGTAGATTACTTAGGGTGACCTGGAGATGTATATGAAAAGAGTGGTATTTGGATTTGTTGAGGATTATTTAGAACTGTAACTGCTTTTAAGAGATTAGGGTCACTCCTGTTGTGCGCAGTGTGAACTCATTAAACAAACAAAATAACATTTCCATCCCTCTCACCTCGGTTTGTGACAAGGTTGTTTTTGACACTGGCGGGATTTCTTGTTTAAATCTATGTTAAGGTTACACAGTACAGCCACTAGATGGTATTACTGAAGAGCAGCGAGTGTTATTCCTTGAAAACATAGGGAGACCTTTTGGAAAACTGCCAGCCCCTGTGCTGGGCAGAAGCTCTGCAATTAACGGTTTATCTCTGGCAGGCACAGTAACATTGAAATATCCATGGAGCAGCTTTGCTTAAAATGGCTGGCAAAGATCATCTCCAGAATCTGGCCTCAAAAGATACTGGCAAACTAGTTTTCCTTAATGGATGCTGCACAGATTCTCTGGATAGTCTTTTATTTTTAAAGAAGATAAATAAATGCTGGCAAGATCATTGCAGACAAATGGTAAGTTGAATGTTTGTTCACAGTACATATCCTTGAGGTGCAAAATCTGGCAAAACCAAGTTTGTCATAGTTTTAACTTGGGACTGCGCTGCACCTCCTCCAACTTTCAGCATTGCTTTTTGCTTTCCCCTTGGCTAGCTGAGGGCAGTTTTGTTGTTGAAACTTAGGTTCTGTTGTGTTACCTCTGACTTTCATAGGTTTCGTGTGAAGTTGAAATGTCATTCCGAAATATATTGACACCTTGTTTTCTGGGGACGGAAAGAAAAACTAACCAGGCAATGCTGAAACTGTTTGGAGTTTATAATTTTAAGTAATCAGAAAATCCACAGTCTTAGCTTTTAGATAGCTTCAAAAACTAGGTTAATTTGTGACTTTTTTTTTTCAAAGCAGAGATGATTATCCTGACTATAGAGCTAAGAAAGGGGAAGATTAAAGAACTGAAACCTGCTTTCTTTCTGCCTTTTTTGTCTTCTACCTCCACAATGATTTATGTTACAGAAGATCTCTCAAACACTCTGCATGAGAATTGTTCTGTTAAGAAGGCATAATTATAATTTCAAACCAGCATTTTACAATGAGTTTTTATTGCATTGTCACTTAGCTTTACCTACAAATGCCCCACAAGGTTGAATTTCTATTTTCATTTCTCAAATCCACTTCTCTCCTTCCCTGTGAGGGATGGGTAGAGGTGCGTGATTTCTATCTGAATTAAAACTGGAAAGTGGTAGAGAAACTATTTTAAACAAACTCAACAGTCTGATGAAAACAGAGTTGAAATTTATTGCCTTGAAAATGTAATTAAATTGAACCTGTGTTTTTATAAAAAGGCTTTTGCTATGAACACTGACTTTAATTACTTGTGAGCATTCTTTTTTTTTTTCCTGCTTTCCTTAAAGCAACAACCTGTAGCAAGTGGCTTTCTTGCCCGTGTACTGTATTAGCACTTGTGATATTTAAGAAAAAAATTCAGGCTTACTGCTGTTTTGCTTCTAATACGGTTGGCCAAAAGCTATGTCATTTTGAGAACTGCTTCAGAAGCAATGAAATCTTTTAGGGAAGAAGTAGGTGGACAGCTGGGAATAGAAACCTGTATCTGGCCTGAGGGGCAGTGAGTTAGTTACTGACATCCTGAGTTATGCTAATGCTAAACTGAGAGTTGAGCAGCTGTTTTATGAGCAAAGTTAAAAATGGATTTTGAATGTGCTAGAGTAATAGGCTAAAAAACCACCTCCTTCTCCCACTTTTTAATTTAAAATTGAGGTAATGTATTTTTATATCTTCTTTCTCCTGTTGGATTTAATGTGTGTCTGTTTTTTTCATTCATTTTGGGCAGCTGACTTTTATTATGAAAAGATCTGTTGTGCAGCTAATTACCATCCCTGCATAAAGCTGCCTGTTTTAAATTTTAAAGCAAAAACTGTGGCAGCATGCTCTTTCAGGGTGTTTAATGACTATCTTGGTGGTACTGTTCAAATAGCTTATATATGTCCTAGCAGGTTAATAAAACTATCTAGTTAATGGTTATGAATTTGAAAATTGTCTGGAATATACTTGGCAATACCACTTGGTATTAACTTCAACAAATTGCATACTGGTGACAGTACAGGTCACCATAGGAGTTGAAAATACCTACATCAGTAAATAAGGTGCATGTCTATGTGATGTAATTTTTCAGAATTTGTTCTGTAATTTAAAATACCACATGGTGACTTCTTTATATATTTTCAGATCATGATCAGAAGCATTTTTCTATTTTTGGATCGTACCTATGTGCTTCAGAATTCAATGCTTCCTTCTATATGGTAGGTATCCATGTAAGTATTCCTGAGATCGTTAGAGTGTGGACATGCTGTGATATTTGCAAAGACTGAAAATAAATGTTCCACCTTATATTTGATCTGTTTAATAGATCTTTAAAATTTGATGTCAATTTATGGAAATAAATGTGTCAGCATTTGCATATGCATCATTTCATTGTAAAGTGAGGGTAAAAGAAGGTCTGTGAAAATAAAAGTCAAGGTATATGAATAGCTGTAGCTGTCACAGCATGGGTGAGGAACCTCCTCTTGACTGCTATCTCTACACCTTAGCACTGCCCCAGCATTACTTTAGCTGCTCCTATGGTTTTGACAAAACATTTCACTTCTTGCTCTGTTTTTTTTTTAAGTAGTCAGATACAATGACAAGGTGCAGATTATCTTTCCAGCACTGGCCTCTTGAGAGTTGAGACCTATGTCTCAGAGCACTAAGATGATGCTTTTGTACTTTCAACCCATCACAGTTGTATCTTTGGGCATTCTGTTTTTAAGCACCTCTCCTGAAGGGCATTTTATATCATTGCCTAAGCATACAAACCCAAATTTGCCAAAAATTTCTGGTACTGTTACTTCCTCTAAAGAAAAAAAATAATTGTAGATAAAGTACTGAAGTAAGAGCACGTCTTTGCCCTGCCTGGCTGGTCTGTGCTCTTGTGAGTTCCATAGGTTGTCAGAGGAGTCTTGGCATCTGTCTCCCACCGCTTGCTTGTCCAGTGGACATCTTCCTTCCCAACCTTTGCTGGAGTAGTTTTCTCCAAGTTTTTGTGCTAGGCTTCCTTTTACTATACGTTGTTCAAGGGGTCTGTTCTCATACTGGGAAATTCCTTTTATTGAAATCCTGACACGTGAAGAAGTTGGAGGTAACAAGTTTTATCGAAGATTCCTCAATTTTACATGGCCAAGACAATGGTTAATAATTGGCTACTTCATGGCGTAGAGGCACCATTCTTCGTCTTGGCATGAAACAAGAATATGATACAGGTGATAAGATCCTAAAGATAAAAAGAATTCATGCTTTTGAAAAAAAACTTACAAGTTGCACAGAGATTAACTGATCCAGGGAATCTTATGTTAAGGTATGTGTTCAGATTTTTCTTTTTTTTTTTTTTTAACAGAGAAAGTTATGGTCTATTATGTGAAAGATGGACAGGCTGCTCACAGTTCTCAGCTGGTAGCATGTGACCTGGTATTTTTATGATAATAATTGTTGTAGTTTTGTTAGTGGACAGTGTCAAAAAGAATATACAGACCATTAATATAGTTTCTTTCTACATATTATATATACACTATATGTATTTTATATGTATTTATTTTTCTTCAAACTGAGATAAAGATTTTTCAAAAGAATCAACAGTGTGGCTTCCTGATTTTCTGTATTCACACAGGGATATGGGGCTAGAGTTATTTAGAAACCACATCATTAGTGACAAGCAAGTTCAGACCAAGACTATTGATGGAATTCTCCTGCTGATCGAACGAGAAAGAAATGGTGAAGCTGTGGACAGAAGTTTGTTGCGGAGTTTGTTGAGCATGCTGTCTGATCTGCAGGTGAGTACAGCAACACTTGCTAACACCTACGTTCAGAAACACAAATTGACTCTTCTAATCCATGTTTTGTACAAAAATTATTCTGTTCTTCTAGTAAATGTGCTTCACAGTCTAGCTATTAGATTGATAAGATTGCCTTTTCTTTTAAATGAGACCTCTTTGCCTGTTTTCCTTAGCTGAGGTAATGGCCTGCAGATCTTAACAGATTTGCAAATCTTTAAGTATGTGTAATATTTTGTGTGTCTTAATCACTCATTGTCTAATCCCAGTGAAATTAAATGTAGGAAAAGAAAAAGACCCACTCTGTCACTGTAAAAAGGCATCACTTTGGGGAGTCCAGATCTTGTGTCTGTATCACAAAAACATGACTGTATTGGCAACTTCTTAGCAGAAACGCCAAGGATAGAATGGGATGCCAAGTTAAGGCCAAGGTTTTCAAATAAATCATGTCAAACTGTAACGTACTGGAACTTTCCATCAGCAGAGATACTAAGTAACCAAGGAGACTGAAGAATGCTGTTCTTCTGTCTTCCGTATAAGTTGTCCTTGAGTTGATGTTGCAGCCTTGTGTGATGTGGAATGAAACTTAGGAGCAGTCTTTTATTCTTAAAAACTGTTGAGGGTGCTCCATTTCCAAGTGGTATACAGCATTACAAAACAAGCTGAAGGTTAGAAAAGAATTCAGAGAGGAACACTGCATAAAATAGTCCTTTTTGGTTAGGTAGCTTACTAATTTTTCTATCTTTCAAGGTAATCCTCTTGACTTTGTTCTGTAGCTTTCTCTAGTGTACCAGACATATTTATAAGCAATTATCCTGTTCAAGAGAAAAGGCAAACTTCTGTCAGTGATTTTTCAGATCATAACCTGGAGGTCTGGATCTGTTTTGTGTGCTTTTCCCCAGATTTTTTCCCCATTGTTATTTGCCAGGTTTCTGTAACTGCATCATCTCCTTCTAGGTGTTGATTTTTTTAATATTTATTAATTTTTAGCAAAGTACTCTGCTAATTGAAAGAGCACGTTCCATTTTATTGGATCCTTCTTACAGAATATGATTTAAGTCTGCATTCTCCTTCATTGGCTTAAAAATGCAGTTTTCCTTTTTTTCCCTAGAAAAAATAAGGTAGTCTAAACTGTTCTTTTATAATAACTGTTGCTTCACTGAGATAGAGATATGCTTGTAAACCTGTAATGATATGCCAGGATATTTATTTCTCCCTCTTTGAACAGAAGATAGCTCCTGAAGAAAGATTAATTAAGCAAATCTCATATTTTGATTTAGAACAACTAATTTCCAACTCGTTCCTGAGTTTTAGGCAATTATGCAGTTGAGGCTGCTGAAAATTGGTTCCTCTTTGCATATATCCTGTTCTATACCTGTTTCTTACTAGAGAGCTTTGGATGTGTTTTATGCACATATGCATATACTGTTAATGTTTTTTTCAGTTATCCTGATGGAAAGGAAGGTAAGAAATTAAAACTGAGGGAAACTTGGCAGACGTGATGATGCTCTACTAAGTGTATTATTATTTTACTGATGAGTATTACCTATTTTGTGCCAATGTTTCACCAGTTGGAAGTACTTTTTTTTCCACTGAAATATCAGTGGGAGTTTTGAGCTCAGGTGGATTGAATGTTGTTGCTGTGCTGTGATGTTGGGTACTGGTGCTGGGCTGTGTGCCTTAAACAGAAGCCTGTCAGTTTAGACTGTTTGGGTACTGATGGCTGAAACACACCATTGCTGTGCTGGGAAGTCAGCTCTGATCTCAGTCTTTCTAAAACCAGTGGGCAAACAGAACTTCTGTTGTTAATGTAATTTAACTCTGACACTTCTCACGGTGGTGTGCATTTCTGAGATTTTACTTGTCCTCTATGCCTGACAAGCAAAATGTGCTACTGTTACTGGGAGCTTAATGTAACTAAATTAATTTCTTGAGCAGGTTTACAAGGAATCATTTGAACAGAGATTTCTGGAAGAGACGAATTGTTTATATGCTGCAGAAGGCCAGAGATTAATGCAAGAAAGAGAGGTAGGTGTATGCCATAGATGATGGCTTTTATGTTAGTTTTATCAGCTGTGGGATTACATGGGAACTTGTGGTAGTGCCGTGGTGTATTAAAGTTCAGTAAAATTTACTGGCACACAGGTATTCATGTGTTTTGATGTGGACCACAGTTGTGTCAGAATTAAGGCTCCAGATTGCCATGGTACTTTATATATATAATTAATTGGGGAGTAACCCAGTGACATTTTCTATAGCTGAAGCCACACTACCAGAAAGTCATCTCCACATAAAGCTTAAAGCTATGCCATCCATATTATTTTTGCCCAAGAGCTGTAAAACGTCCACTGGCATCATTTTGCTATGTTGGTAATACCAAAGTGAACAAGTTATTTTTTTGCTGTTTTGTTGTATTTATTTTGCAGTTTCTTTTCCTAATTAGTTAAATAGACTTAGTACATTTTTGTTTCTTGTCCTCTTGAGATAAAATAATGTCCTGTGGTGGGCAACCTGCAGATGTGGGTATCTGAAAATGTGTATATTTCTTGGTGGTCTGAAATACAGAAGACTACGTTTATTATCCATTTTAGCACTGAGTCACTACAAACATTTTGAAAACTCCTGTTTTCATTGCATTGAGGTGAATCCTTATGTCTAATTCTGCTCCATTCACCTCATTCCCTGGCATTCCAGTGGGACCTGAGGTGAAATGCTTCAACACAGATCTTCAAATCAAGAGCCTTACTGCTTTTGTACATCTCGTGGAGAGCTGTGGTAAAAGACAAAAGGAGTGAGGCCCAAATGTACAGACTATATACATGTACATACTTAAGCATATGCACATATATATGCACAGATACATATGTAAATGCACATACCTGCATTATAATAAGTTCTAAATGTGTTAAATCTCCACAGGAAAATATGCTCTACTGGAGAAAGGGCCATTGAAATAATAGAGCTCTGTGGTTCACACCAACTGCAAACCGTGATACTTTATGGGCTAGCTTAGCTCAGAAGGATTTTGAGAAAGAATTAAGTTACTCTGAAAAATTCTCAGATTTCTGTTTTTCTCTTCCCTTCTGTCAGATGCCATTATAATATGTTTAATATGAAATAATATTGATTAATAAAAATACAGATTATGTAGTAGCTAACAACATTCTGGTGAAATAGTCCTTTCCAATTCATATTCTCTTTAGATCTGTAGTTTAAAATAATTGTCATGGAACAGTATTATCTGTCTTTTATACCTTTGTAGCTGAACTTGTTCTCATCTCGCTAGGTCCCAGAATATCTTCACCATGTTAGTAAACGTTTAGAAGAAGAAGGAGACAGAGTCATAACATATTTAGACCATAGCACACAGTGAGTATAAATTTTGTCATTTTTAGTGTAAGTCAAGCATCCTTCATAAATCAGTATGATTATCCATGGTTTTAGAGACACAAAGACTGTTTCTGCATTATCTTACAGATATTATCTTGGTGACGGTGCTTGTGATACAGCTGGGATTTTTAAAGACTGCATTTTTATCAAAAATTATTTCTTTAAAATGAAAACATACTTTCAGTAAGAAGAGGGAACCTTGTCCAGAAATACTAATCCTGTGTACTACAGTTAACAAAACATTATTTAAGAACTCAAATTTGCATTATCAAAATAGCATCTGATTTCAGCCATTCATGTATTGATAACAACTGTAACCACAAATCCCTTGCGGGAAAGAAACACTCATTAGAAAAAAACAACCAAACAACAAGAAAACACAAGAAAACCCAAACAAACCAACCTCAGAAGGACAGAGTACTACATGAACATCACTCATGAACAGTTCAGGATGTGAACTTAGCAGAAGATCTGCTTTGGTGCCGCAGCTGCCAATGTACTCTGTGGGGCAGCTTGTCCTTTTTTTCACTCGGGTTTTGAGTAACATTTTGTGTTTTGTTGGGTTGAAATGTGCATTCAGAAAGTACTGAGGAGTCACTGACACACTATTTAAATCCATACAGAATTTGTCCTGCAGTAAGCTCTTGCCTTTCTTTTTTTTTTAATTAAGAACATAACATTTTATTTTATCTTCTAGTCTTCCAGGTGATATATTGGCATTCATTGGGTGGCAAAAGGATAAATGAAAAAAATTATCTTTTTAACTTAGGATTTTCTTCAGACATTTTATGTATACACTCACACACATGCATTGTGTGTCATGGTTCATATTTGAATTTGAATATTCCTGTAAATGCTGCTTGTAGGTTGACTGTCTTTTTTGGCAAAATTATTCACACTGAAATATGTGGAACTATTTCTGTATATAAAGTTAACGCAAATATATGTTTTTTGTATTTTGCTGTTTTGGTTAAAAAATGGATTGGAACATTGTATTTTCAGTCTAGATAGACATGAAGTTCTTGCCTTGAATCTTGCCCTTAGTTAAAGGCTTAGAAACCTACTTTTAGAAGACTTCAGACTGATTTCCTTTCCTTGCATTAAGAAACAGCAGTTCTTAAAATTAGTGCCCTTGAGTTTTCCTGGGGTCATACTGTCTCTGTGTGGCCTGATAAGAGCAAAAAGGATGTTAAATTTAGTTATTAGATTTGATCTTGAGATGGAAATGATACTTCCAGGACAAAAGTATGATGGGAAACATCATTCCAAATACTTCGAACAACACATGGAAAGTGTGTCATTGCAGCCCACAGAAGGATTTATTTAGCCTATCAGTACATGCCTTCTGGACAGCTGACCAGAATAAGCATGTTTCCTTTTCAGTCTGTAGATGACCGAGGTAGATGATTTTGAGGCCATACAGAATGTATCTTCAGGCTCTTTCCTTAGCTAGCAGTCAAAATAAATAAAATACTCATTTTGTCTGCTTGTTAGGATATTGAGCTCCACCTCTTGGCCTCAAGCTGATGAACTGTGCTTTCTTCCCCTGTATGCAGAATATGTCTTCTGGGGCAAAGGATGGTATTTCACACAACCCTGACTCCTTCTGCTGTTGGAGCCAGTCAGCAGCTGCAGATGGCAGTAGTTGGAAATGCCAGGGAATATGAAAATGACCATAAAAATGACTGTGTGTTAATACTGAGGATGTGTCTAAACAATATTTCTTGTTCACTTATGACCGCTGAAGGGAAGGAACAGAGAAAGTGTATGCCCTGATACTCTTCTAGTACCTGCCTGTTTTCATCTCAGAGTATTTTCTGAACCTGATGTGGTTTGTCTGTTTGTGTCTCTGAAATACCTGTGTTGTCTCATGGGGAGTCACATAAGCTGGTCTTTGTTGAAGTGCTCTACCAGTGCACCAGCCACCACATGATAAGTTGCCTCTTTTTGTGTAAATCTGATTGCCAGTACTGTCATTAGTGAACCCAGTTCTTGCACTGGAAAGAAGAGTGATCAGTCGGTTCCTTTCCACATCATTTCTGCCTGTCGATGCGCTGTATCCCTGCTAAGTCATCTCTTTCCCAGAAAAAAGTCTTGACATTGCAGTTGTCTCCCTTGTAGCTGCTGCTGACTACTTTGATCATCCCTGCTCCCTTCTCTGAACCTTTCCAAATTCTAATCTAATCTTTTTGAGATGAAGGGCTTTAACTGGTGTATTGTATAGAAAGTCAGGCACATCACTCATGGGTTCTTTCAGGAAAGATAGTGTTTTAGCAAAGGTACACTTTTGTTTTAGCAGAAGTGTATGCTGCTCTGTAAAAGCCTTCCATAAATTCAAGTTGAGCTTCTCTCTTCTAAGAAGTCTAAACTAAGGATCTGAGAACTAGTTTTATAAAAGTTAACTCAGAAATAAATGGTTGGTCTTAATATTGTCACATTGTAAGCAGTGGTAGAATTTTAAATGTTAAAATTAATTACCCTTTGCACTTCAGGCAGTTTCTTTCATCTTTTAGGCTGTGAAAGATGTAAAGGAAAACTTGACATTATTTTTCAGTTCTGACTCTGTGAATGTATCAAAGGAATACTTGATAGGCAATATTGAAGGACAAATTTAAAATGTTTTGCAAATTTGAGTCTTAATGGTTCTAGCTCAATTTATGCTTGTGTAGGTACATAACACAATTAGACTGAGTTTTAAACATCACCAGTGTATGTTATGTTGGTATGGAGTTCAAACCCTTGGAGGTTTTTGGTTTTCTTGTTTTGTTTGTTTGCTTGTTTGTTTGCAAAAGTCAGTATAACTTTTTTCCAAGTAATGCTTTTGTATTTATTTTTGCTATCTTAGCTTCTCTCCTCTACTGTGTAAAGACTTTCTTTCTAGTATTCAAACCTGAATTTTTTAATTACATAGATGGTTTATTGTTGTCTTTCTTGCCTTATATCACGTGACATTTTTGTCCTTATTTGTAACCTCTGTTTTAAGTAGAAAATTATTGGGCATTTTGCATAAGGTTAAGTTATACACAAATACACTGTGACAGAAGGCAGCTCCCTTGTACTCTCATGCTTCTAATATCCTTTTCTTGCCTTATCTAGGAAACCACTGATTGCGTGCGTGGAGAAGCAGCTACTAGGCGAACACTTATCAGCTATTTTGCAAAAAGGTAATTTTTTAAATTCATGTAATCTTTGATTGTAATCTCTCATACTCTGCAATAGCTATACAGTCCACAGCTTTTGCTTCAGAAGGCATATTCTCCATGGGAAAACTTCCACAGACACAGAAAGCCAACCCCCTGTGATTATTACACGCATTGTGACAAGTAAATTGTGTAAATGTCTAAAATAAAATTCCGTATTTGTAAAGGTTACTAAGCCTCTAAATCTCTTTTGACTTGCAACAGTGGACTTAGGAATTAAACCTTTGGAACTGCTTATTTCCTAGAATTAATAAAGTTCTAAATGAGAGCTGCAGTTACTGTTGTAGCTTCTTTTATGCCATAATCACACAACTCCAAGCTTAAAAATGCAGAGTCTGTGTAAGCAACCCTTTTTGTTTTTCGTTGTATCGCTACAACTGCCATTGGCTAGAAATTGGGGGGTTTCAACTGTGAGTATAATAATTTTTCTAAGGCTATGACAGTTTCTGAAAGCTGTGTGAAACTTTTTATCAGAGGACTTTGCTGTATGTCCTAATCACATAAATGTGTGATTAAATTTTCAGTCACAGAGCTCATGCTAGAAGAAGAGGGAAGATTAAACTTTATGATCTAGATTCTAGTAAAGCAGTGTCTTTATTGGTGTCTTTAAACAAATAGTAGATGATGCTTGGATGTGATGGAATTGGCATTTCTTAGTTAAGAGAGCTGGGGTTGTTCAGCATGGAGAAGAGAAGGCTGCAGGAAGACCTCATTGTGACCTTCCAGGACTGATAGAGGGCTTAGAAAAAAAGAGAGTGGCATTTTTACAGAGATAGTGATAGGACAAGGGGTAATGATTTTAAACTAAAAGAGGAGAGATTAAAGAGTATTTATTAGAAAGAAATTCTTGATTTTGAGGCTGGTGAGGCACTGGAACAGGTTACCCAGAGAAGTTGTGGATGCCCCGTCCGTAGAAGTGTTCGAGAAGGTTTGATGGGGCTTTGAGCAGCCTGGTCTGGTGGGTGGCCTCCTTGGCCATGATGGGGGAATTGGAACTAGATCATCTTTAAGGTCCCTTCTAATCCAAGCCTTTCTATGATTCTTTGATTTTTATGATTCTGACTCCATGCTCAATGCTAAACCACCTGTATTCGAGGCCACGTAGTCTGTTGTCCTACATTTAAAGTATATTCATTCTTCTACTATCTCAGAAGTTTAGGAAATCTCAAAATATCAGACAAAAGTTAATTGACATCATTCTTGATCATTGCTTGCCTTTCTGAACTTGTAAGTTGTAATACACAGTAAAAGTATTTTTAAACTGAAAAATACAGTAGAACGTGGAATAATTCTGTAGTGACTGAAAATCCTGTGTAATCTAATACCATTTAAAAATTGGCATTAATGAAATACATTTTGTGAAGTGGGACAGTTGTGCGATGTCAGCTACACTTATGTGAATTGTCAGCTTATGTAAAATCAAGCTTTCTGGTTTTAAAAAAAGTCATAAGTCTTTGATGCTATGCTCCCTTATTACTAAAGCCTCTGTAACTGATACCAGACAATGTATCTCTGATTACACTGGAACTACATTAGTTGTATTCTCAAACGTAAAAATGTGTACTAAGTTATTTGATTGTTATATACCTTGAGCTTCACTTCTCCATTTGTTAGTCCAAAGCTTAGTCTCATGTAGGGTGAGCATAGAGAATTCCTAGCACATTCTTAATCTAAAAACATGGTTCACCATGCTCCATAAAAAAAAAAAATCTCACAAAGTATTTATTTTTACTTTAAATTTAGGGCAGTTTACTTAGCTTACTGTTTTCTTTAGAGGTTCTTGATAGAACTGTACCCTGTAAATCAAACTCTCTTCATAACCATTCTGCAAAGGGCTTACGGTCATCACCTCGTTGGGAAAGTTGAAATGCTTTTTTAAAATATTATACCATAAATCATCTCATCCTGTTTAAACAAGAGAACATATTACTTGCTTTCAGAAATTTAATTTAAAACGTTCATACTTTTTGAGCACACTGGAGGAAGTATCTTGTCTTTTGCTGTATTGCATAGAGATTTCTCTGATATATTTCTAACTCTATTTATGCAACTGTATTCAAATTTTCTCTTTCTTCTAATTGATTTTTTTTAGGGCTTGATAACCTGCTCGATGAAAATAGAATATCAGATTTGACCCAGACATACCAGCTGTTCAGCCGGGTAAAAGGTGGACAGCAGATCCTTTTGCAACACTGGAGTGAATACATCAAGGTATTTCAAAGAAATGTTCCTAATGTCAGAATTTATGCTGTTATAAATGTCTTCTGTCAAACCCAAGAATAATATGTGCGTGCATGCATCAGAGTTCTGTTTTAAGCAAATACAGGGAGGGATGTTAATGCTTTCCTCCCCCCAAGTAGCAATCACATGATGAGAAACAGCAACACCTGTTTCGGTTTTAAATTTCTACTTGGAAATTACTTTCCTTATAGGTTTGAACATTATACAAGATGTTTTGGTTTGTTCTGCTTTTAAATAGAACCACATGCACATGTGTTTGGAGTATGCTGGACTGTACTGTGTGTTGTTCTGCTGCAAATACACTCAACTGTTTACATATCTACAAAAACAGTGAAACATCAGAACGTTGCTATTCTACAGTGCTACATATAACCAACCTACAGCAATGCTGATGAATGTTGAAGCTATTTTGAAGGGAATGCTCCTGTTGAAAACAGTCCACCATCAAAATTGTATTTAGATGCTTCAGGTTTGTTTTGCCAGGCATACAGTATGCTGCCCCAGAGAGTGCATTCTGGTGCTCTTGCGAGATGAAGACAGGAAGGCTTCACAGAAGATCTTTGTGGAGTTGATAATTCCTGCTGGCGTAGTTCTCCCCTGAATTGCCTGTGTGTTCATCAGCCTTCAGGACTAAGTGCACAACATCAGTTCATTTCAGAGATGTCTTTCCTGCACACCTGTGTTTGGAGTTTGGCATGATCCACCAGTGTTGCAGCTTATGGGAGTGGAATATAGACACCTTTCTGTCCCCCAGAACTGAGGTGAAGTTTACTCCACAGACTGTTGTCCAGTGTCCCCATACACAGCCCATGGATTCATAGGCAGCGGGCCTGTTGAATGGTTTGCTGTGGCTGAGGATGAACATCTTTCTCCTTACTTGATCCCAGATCAGGCTCCTGGCTTAACCCTTGTGCTACCTGCCACTCCATACATATTCTTTTGTGATCTGTTTTAACACAGTATCTAGGGCAAGGTCAGTTTTATGGCTCTTTAGTAAACTAAAGAGGTTCAGAAAAAAGTCCAAGGAAAGAAGTAGAAGTTCAAGACAGATAGGAAAATAAGGAAAAGAGGACCAGAACCTCTCCTTTCACAACAGCAAGTTGCTAAGTTGGCTTATCATACACTAAATCTCACAGAATCAGACCTTCTCTAGTTTTAAGATGGCTTTTTACATACTCAGAAAGCTAGAAACCCTTTTCTGTAGTGTCAGTAAGTCTCATTTTGGACACTGTATGACAAAATGCATTAAAGAGAGGCTTCGAGAATTTTAAAGTTTATCTTGAGCTGAGTTATGGGCTGAAGATCTGTGCTGTATTGTCATCATGTTATGATTTCAGAGGTGACATTTGGCTTTCTGTATCTTGATTTGCCATTTGCAAAATGGGAGGAATGCCTTGCAATTTTATGAACATAAGTGATAGAGACTGTGAGATGGCCAAATACTGTGTTAATGAAGGAGAAACTGTGATAAGTAGAAGCTCTGATGGACTAGATGATCATCAGAGGCCCCTTCCAGCCCAAACCACTCTGTGACCCTGTGATACACATGAATCCAAGAACCTTGGGCAGCTATGTGTTCAGCTTCACTCTGAAATGTTATTTGGGAAAGATCTCTGTGAATATGGCAATTGCTAATTAGGTATTGAAGTGGAACTTTTGAGGTTTGAAAGGGATTTCTCTCTGTTTTACTGTTGTGGATAACATGCTTCAGTTGATGAAAATATATCAGCTGAGTACTGTTTTGCTGTTACAGTGCAGATGTTTCCCCTTTCTCACCTTGAAAAACTGACCATTCTGTCCAGGGCACTGATCAGTGTTACTAAGCAACTGTATATTGTCCAGTAAATTAAAATCCTCCGTTACGGAATATTTTGATTCATTAGACAGATGGTTTCGTATCTTAAGATAATAAATGTAGGAACAAGAAGTGAAGGGCGAGTCTGTGACTACTTCTTGTGCCTGGGAAAGTTTTGTTTCCTTGCAATTCATCTAGGTTTATGTTGGGTTTTTTTGCCTCAGAACCTTTCTGAAAGAGGAATCTTAGAGTGATGAGCAGCAATTGAATTTTTGCCCCCTGTTCCATCAGTAGAGCTCTCTAGTGGATTTAAGAAAAATAGTGCGAAGTTTTCTATTACACTTAAAATTTCTGAGGCAGTTTCCATATAACTTATTTTACATTAATCATGTAGTTCTCTAACTGTAAACTTGCATGTCATAGTCATGTCTACTGTGTATTTATTTATTTAATTTTTTTTTTTGCATTTGTCTTGAATGTATATAATCTTTAAATCAAACAAAAGCGTTTGAAATCCATTAATGTGTGTCTGGTTTTTTATTTTAAATTTCAATGCATCTCATTTTTTGAAAACTTGAAGTCACATAAGTAGCTCTGTAAAAAAACCTACTCTTTCTAATGATAAATTTTATAAGGGTGAATGTGTCTGTTGGGGGAGATAGGTAGCACTCTAAAGTATTTTACTATCAAAAGTGTTTGTTTTACAGAACTTTGGGACAACAATAGTGGTTAATCCTGAAAAAGACAAGGATATGGTGCAAGAGCTACTAGATTTTAAGGATAAAGTGGACCATATCATAGAAGTGTGCTTTCAGAAAAATGAAAAATTTATAAACTTGATGAAGGAGTCCTTTGAAACATTTATCAACAAGAGACCAAATAAGCCTGCAGAATTGATAGGTACACAAATATTTTTCTGTAAAATATTTCAAAACCTATAGAAAGCATGATAAGATGTTGCTGCTGAGTGTGCTAGTGCAGTAGTGGTGCAGTATGCATTCTGCTTTAGGAGACTCATTTTTGGGATGTGAGGCCAATGTTAACTGGGGAGCACTGCGGGTTCCAGGAGCTTGGGTGTGCTGTAGGTGTGAGCGCGGTGTCCTGACGGAGCACGTCACCTTCTGCTGCCCCCACGCTCTGCTGCTTGCACGGTGCTGGTGCTAACAACTGCTCAGAGAGCGTGGTGCTGGTGCTGCCAGTGCAGTAAATGCTTAGGGGGGAAAGAGCAGCCGTGGCAAATAAAAGGGAACTGGCTTTAATTGTGATAGTAGAGGAGTTCTTTGGATGTTCTGGGTCTTTTGGAAATAGCTAAGCATAGCCCCATCTATCTGCCTTGAAGGCTGAAGTTGGGATAACAACTTTAAAGCTTTCAGATACAAGGAATTTTAATAGAGGAAATTTGTGACCTTGAAAGGGGAACTAGTACATATGAAGGGGGGAAAAATAATAACAAATATTTTAAAAATACTATTATTTGGTTTATCCCTGATGTGGCAAAAGGTATTCTGACTATTTTGCCTGCAACAAAACTGGAGCTGTGGCATTTTACACCAGGAGAGGATCCTGCTCCTTGGTTGTTTGTTTTTCCTCTGTACATTCTTTTGCCTTTATTCATCTTATTTTGTGACTTCCTTCTGAAATCAGCTTTATGTAGGACAGATTGCACAATACAGTGATACAGGTTAAAGCCATGATATGGGCTGCTCTCATTTGTGGATCATGATGTTTCAGCTCCTGCAAAGGTTTCCTTCTTACACAGAAGGTTGTATAAGGATACTAATGTGGCTTAATAAATACTTAGCTAAACTCAAGGCTTAACCTTATTTCTGGCATTCTGAAGCTACTTGAAAGCAGTGCTTCTGTTTAAATTTTTATATGCTCCCACAAAGGAGCGTGAGGGACATGGTGAAGGTCTACAAAAATATAGTCCTCTTTATGTTGTTTGTTTCTGTTTCTCATAAATACATTCATATGCATTGTACGCTTCCAAAACATTGTCTCTCAGCAGGAAATGTGCTTGTTCAGACTATAACGCAAAATATGGGAATTTCTAATGCGTTAATTTTAACTATTATACTGTATTCATTTTTTTCTTGGACTTTTGCAATATTTTTCTATTGTGCTGATAGTACAGTGGGGCTCTGTCATTCCAGTGAACGTGGGGTGGGAAAAGGGAAAATAGAAAGTTTGACGTTTATCCTGTATTTTAACATATAGTAACGTTTAACACAAAGTAATATTTCAAGTTGGAGATGCTTACGTGGGTTATTTTAGATTTATTTTTAAGCTGTTAAATAATTTTATTTATTTGTAGCAAAATATGTGGATTCCAAGTTAAGAGCTGGTAATAAAGAAGCAACAGATGAAGAGCTGGAAAGAATCCTTGACAAAATCATGATCATATTTAGATTCATTCATGGTAAGAAATAGCACTTCACCGTTGATGCAATTGAAACTGTTTTCCTTGCTCCTAGCAAAGCTGCTTTCCTCTAAACGTAAGAGATCTTTTTCAGTGTGAGTTTCTGCTTTATTTGGTCTTTAATTCAGGTTGCATTACATCTGAAGGAGCACAGTAAATACACCAGGGGGGACAAACTAGTTCTATGGAGATTGGCAGGTTATGGACCTTTTGCAGTCTGTGGATGGTGACCTACGAGTCAGAGCTGTTGCTGGAAGTTTTTTCCCATAAATTAACCACCTCTGTAACCACAGCCTCTCCTCTAACAACAGAGAACGGATGTTAGTACAGATTTTCTGTTCCCTGTCTGCCTCAGTATGTTGTAGGTGGAAGTATGTGAAAATCCAGCAACTAATGTCTTCTCTTTTCTCCTCATGGCTGAGAGGGAACTCAGTGGAGGGCTCAGAACAACAGGAAAAAGTGTTATTGCTGGAGTTTACTGCCTTTGAAATGCACTTCCCTCGTGTATATCCCTATCTGAGCAAAGCCCTTAAATGTGTTAGGAGATTTTTTTCCTAGATGGGGTATCAGGGGGAAAAAAAAAAGTGGTCTAGTCTAATAGGGTCACTGTTATGGTAACTGTTTTGGGGGAAGTGGTACATGTATCCTGGGCTGGGGTGGAACGAGCAGGAATTACCCAATTCTGTATTACGTTCTGAGATCTGTCAGGTTCTTTCTTAATAAAATCCAAAACAAATATAATATAATGGGAAAGCAGTCAAGTCATAAAGTAATATCATTTGCATCATGATTTTTGTTAGATAGGGATGTTGATTGAAAACAGTTGCACTGACCTTTGTCAGCCTAAGAGATTAATTTCTGTTAATCTGAAACTTTCACCAGCTCTTTTTCTCTTCATATTTTTTTGAGCTATAAGTGCATATTTTATTTTGAGCTGTCTAGTGTATAAGATTCCTTTTAAGAGTAGATAATAGTTAGTAGGTAGTTCCTGGGCATTGAACTTTTTGGTGATGTCTTGATGCAGCTGTTCCATGAAACATCACTTCACCAGAGGACAGGATAGAGAAGAAAGAAGACTATGGGAGGAATTTCTACATTGGAAGGTGTTTACAAGGAATTGAGAGGCTACTGTAGGCAGTGCAAATAGTGCCTTGAGTTACAGTGAATTTGTTCCTCTTAGAAGTGAAACTACTTGCCGATATCTTGACACTGTCAGTAGAAAAGATATGCGGAAGCTTGGATTTGAGGTGTGAAAGTTTGTGGGTGTCTGTATGACTGCTTCATTTCAAAAAGCTATTGGCAAACCAAGTGAGAAGACTTCTGTCAATTTTTCTTCATCTTAGACTTTTAAAATATATTCTTTACACAGAAAACCTCTCCTATAATTTTTTTTTTTTTTTTATAAATCAAACCACAAGAGGGAGAATCTTCTTCTGCACCCCAGAGTAATTTCATGTGGCTTGCAGCTGATCCAATGGGAAATACAAGGCAGTCTATGTTTCCTGGGACAGAAATAAGAAAGAAAAATTTTGTGAAATATGTTAAGAAAATTATTAAAATATAAAAAGAACAAATTGTCTACAAGTTTTGCTTCACTGCTGCATAGTAAATATTCTTCTGCAGATCAGCATGCCATAAGAAAGGCTTATGTCACAAATTATGCAAATAGAATGTATTATTTCAGTTGTATTTTATTTTTTGTTTCAATTTCTTTACAGGGAAAGATGTTTTTGAGGCGTTTTATAAGAAAGACTTGGCCAAAAGACTGCTGGTTGGAAAAAGTGCATCAGTAGATGCTGAGAAGTCCATGTTGTCAAAGCTAAAACATGGTAGGCATATTCAGATGCGTTAAATTTGTATTGCTTTTTGGCACATAAATTGAAATCCTTATTTTTTCATGCTTTTAAGAAGTGACAAGCCAGATTTTAAGGAATAACTGAACAACTCTTACTTAAGTACTGAGCTATATATATATATATATCACAGCTTTCATTGTGCTTAGTGAGAACTATTGGGCTGACCTCTTAGGTATGAGACTGGTTCGTTTAATGTACCTACAGAGGAACCAAATCCATAAAATCCTTGCAAAATCCACCTGTCTGTGGGTGCTCTGTAACGTGGCACATGTGGCTTAGCTGTCTCAGATTAAACCTTTATCGCTTGTTCTGTGCTGCTTTGTAACTGTGGGATCTTTGCTTTAATTTGTGGGACAGAATGTGGTGCTGCTTTTACCAGCAAACTGGAGGGCATGTTCAAGGACATGGAGCTGTCAAAAGATGTCATGGTACAGTTTAAGCAGGTACATTTAGCTTTTGCTTGCACGTTTAATTTTCAAAAGTCATGGGAAAATATTTAATGGTGTTATACGTTGGATTAAGCTAAAATTACACAAAACTGCTTTTGAGCAGGTCCTGGTCATAGTAAGAGAGTCTATAGACCATTCTATTCATACAGAACAGAATTTATTTATTGTATATCTATTCAGAGATAAGCTTATTTTACAGTTTTATTTGATTCCTTTTTAAGTAAATTACAGTCTAAATACCATATAGTAACTTAGTCAACTGACATCCTTTAAAGTTTTATCCCTTAATTCTGTAAACTATTGGTGACCTGATGAATTCTTTGTGAAGGGCCCACACCACGGTAACTCCCTGAAGGTTGCTAAGTGTGCAGAAATTGTGCATGTCTCAGCCCCGAAGTTTCCAACCTGTTGGTAACCAAGGGAATGCTTGGAGGAAATACTGTGTATGGACACCCTGTTGTTCTCCCTGGGTACTTGTTTTGGGACCTTATTGAAGACAGGATGCTGGGGTAGAGATCTAACCCAGGACTCTTGCTCCTGTAATAAAGCATAGAAGTGACTTCTCTATCCAGAATTCGTAGCCTGGTTTGACTGACACTATGGTCAAATTATATGAAAATGTTTTGTATAACAGATGTGGAAGTCCAAGGGGATCCTTTTGATCTTATGGTCCCTGCCATGGCTTCTGCCTTGGTAAAAAGCTTTTCTTTTGCTTTATTTGCGTGTGATTAGAGGTCTTTAACCTCCATGTCCTGTAGAGACAGTGGAGTAGGATATTTCAAGGCATGTTCTTTCTTTGTACTTCAAACCATGTGCTGTGTTTTGAAATTGGGGAGAGAGGCCTTAAATAGTTATTCAAAATCCTGGCAGAGCACGTCTAACCAAGGATGTGGCATGTAGAAATTTTTCATTGCTATAACTAATTTTAAATTTCTAATTTAAGTCTGTCTTTATTTTCTAATTAATATGCAGACAGTATACTTGAATGATTTTTGTCTCTTGTATTTTAGTATATGCAGAACCAAAGTGACCCAGGAAATATAGACCTGACAGTAAATATATTAACTATGGGATATTGGCCAACTTACACACCTATGGAAGTCCACTTAAATTCAGAGGTTAGTGTTTAAATTCATTCTAATGCACTATACAGAGTGGAATCATAATCACTATCACAGGCAGAACTAACGCACTTCATTTAATGTTTTTCTGCTGATATTTAAGGGGTTTATGTAATTTTAAAGATTGCAGGATTGCAAAAAAATAAAATGTAGTGAGTAAAATCCACTTTTTTCAGATGCTTGTTTCACTCTGTGGGGTTTTTACCTGTTTAATAATAATAATAATCTAAAATTAGTATAAAACCCCCTCATATTTTCACTTATCATTGCAGTCAAACACCTAAAGGTTTGCAGTTGGTCAGTTCACCCTAATTTAGTCAATCTTTAACTACATTGGTTAGACACTTTGATCTAACCAATAATTACACTACTGTACATTCCTTTTTTCTGAAAGATCCTTCCCCTGTTCCCTGCAATGTGTCACACAAAATTAGCCCCCCTGCATTGAAATAGTATTTGCACAAAAAAAGTTTGCTTCCAAGTTGAGAGATTTTTGCAAAGCTCCTGCCAGTAGCAATGTAGATTAAAATATGTATTTGTAGTCCTATTTCCTACAATACCTTGTTTGATCTAAGTGTGGGAAGCACTTCAGAGACCAAAGGTGGGAGTGCAGTTCCCATTCAGTTCAGAAAATGTGGAAGCTTTTGTGTTCTTGCTCCTGAGACATCTTTTCCTCCATGGCAGACTACTTAGGAAAGATCCAGCCTGAGCAACACGGCATGAAAATGAAGGGGTAGAAACCCCTTACTTGGAAGTAAGAGAGTATAAAATACTGGAATCAGGTTTGAATTCCAGTACAGGACAAAATATAGGAAGAACTTGGGAGCAAATGGTAGCAACCAGTGTAAAGGTGTGAGATGTGTGCTTTTTGTGTGATGACTTTTTGGTCAGATTCAAAGTCCAGGACAAAATTAGTATTTATTTTTGAGGTTTAAAACCCTTTACAGAGGGGTTTATTTTACTTTTATTTAAAACAAGCATAACAAAAGGTAAACTCTAGGGAAATTAAAAGTTTTTTTTTAATTGAGACTTTCTTTTGTGCATAATACTTGAGAGCAGAATTTTGTTCTTTGAATTAAAGTTTTCCCCACAAAAACACTTCTTTTGAAACATGATTGGTGAGAATAAAGCAATTACATGCATGAAATCCTCTGCTATCACTGCACTGATAAAATGCTAATAAATGTTTTTCTCTGTTTTCTTTACAGATGATAAAGCTTCAAGAGGTATTTAAAACGTTTTACCTGGGAAAACACAGTGGTCGAAAGCTTCAGTGGCAGACCACTCTAGGGCATGCTGTCCTAAAGGCAGAATTTAAGGAAGTAAGCTTTCCTGTTTTGAAACTTAGTCTGTCGGGATAAAATTTAAGTCAATTGTTTGGAATCTAGTCATATATTGTGTTTTTATAAAGGTACTGACATTTTTTTGGAGGAACAATCACAATTCAACACTGTTATTTTATATAGAAAGTAGGCTTTCTATAATTAAACTGAAATACTGCCTTGCTACCAGAAGACAACAGTGTGGTAATATTAATTTCAATTGGTAATATTAATTTCATAGGAATTGTTGCTCATTAAGATAAAGCAAGTTGTGATAAAACAGGAAATTAATGAAAGAAGACTGTAGCATCTTTTTATTTTTAATCTGGAATTGTTTTGATCATAGAAATACTGGTGATGCTTTTAGTATGCTGAACTGATACCAAAAGAGACTGAAGGGTGTTAGTCATGTGATGACTGTGGTTAAACTTTAAATGCTTGTTGAATTATTTAAGTCTTAAATAACCACATTGTTTCTTAATGTGGTTTTCTTTTGTTTCATGCAATATCTTGCCTTGTAATCATGCGATTTCACTGAGCCATAGCAAAGACAAAAACCCCCTGAATTCTTTTGTTAACTCACTGTGAACATGAATCTTGGAGCTTTAGTCATTACGTAAGAGTAAGATGGATGGGCTTGTAGTTGCCAATTGACAGAAATGTCCACAGCTGGTTGAAGAGTTCAAGCTCTTTTATTTCCTTTCTGTTGCCTGTTTGTACAAACATTGTGCTACTGATAATACTGTCCCTGTGTATCGTAGTAAACCAAAGTTATCTTTTGTTTCTTTCATATCTTATCCAATGCCAAGATTTTTTTGTATTAGTTTGTCTCCAATAAAATGAAACTTTAGTTAATTATTAAGAGATTCGATATTGATGGCAGCAATGCCAGAATTTCATATATTGTAATTAAAATGAAGTAAAGGATGGGAAGTAAATACCAGGCCATTCTAATGAGCTTCTGCAATGTACTGTATCGCTACTGTTAGAGGAGCAAAAAAAATGTCTTTAAAAATATCCTGTTTCCTCGATACTACATTCTTCTCTGTGCCAGGCATTCTAAAATGCGTATCTCTTGTAGAAATAGAAAAGTAAATGTATGCCTTCTGTAACTTGTCAAATGTTGGGGGTACAGTAGAAAAATTCTCTGAATATTACTTCTAATTATTTGATATTTCTCTTTTAGGGGAAGAAAGAATTTCAAGTATCGCTCTTTCAGACATTAGTGTTGCTTATGTTTAATGAAGGAGATGAATTCAGTTTTGAAGAAATTAAAATGGCCACTGGTATAGGTAAGAAGAACACTTTCTGATTCTTAAATGTATTAATGAAGTGATTGTGAATTATGATTTGGTATGTAAATGCCTAATTTTAAGAAATTTGCCCTGGTCATTAGACAAACTTGATGAGCCAATGGGATACAGACACCAGAAGAGATGTACACTGCTGGTATTTCTTAGAATACTTTTCTTAGTGTGTAAGATACTTCACAAAATTAATAGTAAGAGCTGTAAAGCATGTGGTACTACTAACGACTGATTTGATTTACAAAATGTATCACTGCAATTCTTAAAATTCAAGTGGTGATACACTGTTGTGTGTACAAATTATTTTTGTTCCATTAGTTTCACATACTAGATTTGGAAAATTATCTGCTGTAGAATGCTGTCATTTGGGGGTGATTCAGGAGAGTATTTTCAGTTTAAACTGTTTTGAGAGCTCTTCTTATTGCTGTTGCTGGAGTGCTTCATTTACAGTAGGTCTGATTTGTTAAGAGCAGTAGTGTTGTGCTGGGTGTATACTGTGTAACTCTCTGCCTCTGCACTTGAAGGCAGAAAGAACAAAAAACCCTGAAGGAATATAGTTTTCTTTTTAACCATCTGCAGTCTCTGCCCTCTGTGTTCTTATGTTCTTGCGTGGGTTTCTTTTCCCCAATTCTTACACCTTCTTGAAATAGTTACAGCCATAACTGTCATTTCTTTACCCTCTGGAAGTTCTGCATCAATCAGCAGGTTATACTGAGTAGCCCTTTGCATGCTGAAACTTAAGATTAACCCCAATCAGCAATGCTGAAAGAGTATTTGAGCCCATGCAAGTACTAAAACATTGTAATATATTTAGTAAAATACTGTAAAATGGGGATATCAAGAATCCTTGCACTTCAGAAGGCAGTGCACCAGCTTCTCAGCATCAATGCTTCAAGCTGCTTAGTCATCCACTCCATTAATGGTAAAGGATCTGAAGAAAATCCATGCAAGTGTGAATGATGAACATCAGGATAGCCTCCAGAGAAGCTCATTAGGTCAGGGTACAGTGTTTACAGAACAAACATAGGTTCACACAGGCCTGATCCACGTCCTGCTTTCTCGTCTTGTATTGCTGTACCTTCGAGTTTGCATTCTGGCTGCCTGGCAGCAACAGATAAAATCTGCTGCATGGAAATCCATTCCATTATAGCACAAAATAAAGAGTTTCAGTAGTGTTTTTAAGGCAGTTGACTGGAATTGATAGTTGGGAGCTACCTATATGTTAATTGAACTGAGTACCATGTCTGTATTTCTCTCCCCCTAGAGAGAAGTAGTATAGGAATATGGGTAATAAGGACAGTTTATGGTTCACATGTTTCCTTTGGGGCCAGGATCAATGCCATAGAAGCCATTCCCCCTTGTCCTGTCACTACATGCTCTTGTAAAAAGTCCCTCTTAATTATTTTGTAGGCATTAACTGACTGTGGTTGGAATTTGTGTTTTGCACTCACTCTTACAATAAATTGCCACCAGTCTCTTTAATGAGATTGTTTCTGGTACATTAGTAGAGTTAGAAAATGCATAAACTGTCACTCAGAGAAAGAATGCCTACCTTCTCTCTGGTAACTGTGGTGCTTTAAGATGTGCTGTCCAGATATTCTCCACATTCTTATGTGCCTTTCTCATTGTCAAGGAAGCCTCTAGGAGGTGCAGTTTTTACTTCTACTTCTGTGATTGATAGGTAATTGCAGATTCATTCCCTTTGGCATACTATAACCTGCAACTTCACACACAAGGCAGAAGCAAAGCTCCAAAGAGTTTTAACAGCAGCTTTGGGTTTGAACAAAAACACAGCTCAACAATCTGAGTTTACTGAAGTTGAAACAGACAAAATGTGTCAAATGTCATAAATGCCTGTTTAGTCCACATGGTTTGAAGGGTTTTTTCTAGTAATCGTAGAACAATTGGAAGTTTAAAAAAAGGAAAAGATCTCTCTGTGTGAAAGTTAAACTATTTTAAAAATTGTAATACTGTTAATATCTTTATTGATGATCTGGATGAGGGGATTGAGTGTACCATTAGCAGACTTGCAGATGACACCAAGTTGGGTGGGGGAGTTTTGATGTGCCAGAAGGCAGGAGGGCTCTGCAGAGGGACCTGGACAGACTGGAGAGTTGGGCTGATTCCAGTGGGATGAGGTTCAACGAGGCCAAGTGCCGGGTCCTGCACTTTGGCCACAACAACCCCCTGCAGCGCTACAGGCTGGGCACAGAGTGGCTGGAGAGCAGCCAGGCAGAAAGGGACCTGGGAGTTTGGAGTGACAGGAAGCTGAACACGAGCCAGCAGTGTGCCCAGGTGGCCAAGAAGGCCAATGGCATCCTGGCCTGTATCAGGAACAGTGTGGCCAACAGGAGCAGGGAAGTGATTCTGCCTCTGTACTCTGCGTTGGTGAGGCCACACCTGGAGTCCTGTGTCCAGTTCTGGGCCCCTCAGTTCAGGAAGGATATTGAGGTGCTGGAGCAGGTTCAGAGAAGAGCAGCAAGGCTGGTGAAGGGACTGGAGCACAAGCCCTGTGAGGAGAGGCTGAGGGAGCTGGGGTTGTTTAGTCTGGAGAAGAGGAGGCTCAGGGGTGACCTCATCACTCTCTACAACTCCCTGAAAGGAGGTTGTAGCCAGGTGGGGGTCGGTCTCTTCTCCCAGGCAATCAGTAGTAGGACAAGAGGGCATGGTCATAGACCCTGCCAGGGGAGGTTTAGGTGACTATTAGGAAGAAATTTTTTTACAGAGAGAGTAATCGGACATTGGAATGGACTGCCCAGGGAAGTGGTGGATTCTCCATCACTGGAGGTTTTTAAGATGAGGCTGGATGTGGCACTGAGTGCCATAGTCTAGTAACCACAGTGGGGTTGGATCAGGGGTTGGACTTGATGATCTCGGAGGTCTTTTTCAACCCGGTTCATTCTGTGATTCTTTGAGTCTCTTACTCAGCTACCCTCCACTTCAGCACTAGATTGCAAAACTTGTCTTTCCATTTTTAGACTAAAACTCTGTTTAGGAGATACAACAAAATTGGTGATAATCTTATATTGTGAATAAAGTATTCTAGATAATGTTTTAATGCAAAATCTTGATACAAGACTTTTCAACATAATTATTAGAATATTTGGGACTTCATTTTATCTACTTCTCAAAATTATTTTAGCCTTATATGTGAGATAAAATTTTCCTAACCCACTTGTTTCTACTACTTTTCTGCTGAGGGGAAAGTTTGACTATAATAGCTGTCAGCTCTATCTTCTCACAAAGCATCTTTCTGTCATAGACTTCTGGTTTTTTATTCTATTATATATTTTCTGGTGAATGTTAAAAACAGTGATGAAGTCATAAAATGGGTGGCTTGAGTTTCTTGTTACCCACTGATTTTTTTGTCTTCTGAGGTCCTGTTATTACCAAAGAAAACTAAACCAATAAACCAGGCTCATGTTAATGTGAAATCTTCCATCTATTTTGGGTGGAAAGCTCACCGAGATGAGCCTCAGTCCGTCTGACATACGCAATTCTGTGTATGCTCTGAGCAATTACTGAAAGATGTGAGACCAAGCCTGGAGGCTGTGAGTTTTTTCCTAGTTGGGACTTAGCTGGAAGAAAGTATTAACATAAAACCAGTAACTTTTCAATTGTATTGCTAGATTAATCACATAAAACTTCTCATGTTAATGCTTTGTTCTGCTTTCTTTCATATTTTGAACTTCTTTACAGAGGACAGTGAATTAAGAAGAACCTTGCAGTCTTTAGCTTGTGGAAAAGCACGAGTATTGATTAAAAATCCAAAGGGCAAGGATGTAGAAGATGGAGATAAGTTCATCTTCAATGGTGATTTCAAGCATAAATTGTTTAGAATAAAGATCAACCAAATCCAAATGAAAGAAACAGTATGTATTTTTTGCATTCATTCTGTTTATATATGAACTGTTTATCTAGATATCCCATGTGAAAAGACAATCTCTGTATTTCTCTTGTAGTTTTTGCACATGGAGAAAAGAAAAAGGTATTTAATTTTTTGGGGGGTAGTCAGAATGACTCGCAGAGGCAATAAAGATTTTAAAACTGATTGGAATCGAAAAAATCTAGTTTTTTTCCTGGGCTTCCAAATTTAAATGCTTATATATTAGATTAAAAGGATCTTCTAGATGTTTGAGTCCATCTTAGAAGTTTCTGTGGTATTGCTGAAGTGTTGGTACTATACTGAACTCATAAATCAAATGTCACCACATCGTTTCCATATTTAGCAGGTAAGAGGGCTATAAAAATCAGGGTTGTCCCTGACTTTGCAGCCGGTGTCTTGGTTGTTCCTGAATCCCAGTGCTTGACACAAGGTGACATATTTTAATTACCATTGGCTTGTTTGGTTTTTTGCCTTTGCATATTAAAATTCCTAAAAGTCAAATTGGAGTTTGACACAAAAGACTGTTTGGGCTGTTGAACTGCTGAGTGTTTTCTCAGAAAGCAGAAGGGAGTTTTTAAGATTTAGTTTCATTTATAAAATAGATTTAAAATAAGACATTAGTTTTTCTTTTACATTATCCTTAATTTTTATTTTTTACTTGCTTTAGCAGTACATGTCAGAATCACTTAGCTCTTAACATGCAGTAATAACGTGAATCTGTCTCAAGGATAAGTAAGAGTAGATGAGTTTTCATTGTATTGTAAAGGTTAACTATAGAAATATAATCAATAAAAATAGTGATAGAAGGTGATATGACTTGTGGTGTTCTTTTGTCCTTTAGGTTGAGGAACAGGTCAGCACAACTGAAAGAGTATTTCAAGACAGGCAGTATCAGATTGATGCTGCTATTGTACGAATAATGAAGATGAGAAAGACTCTTGGTCATAATCTTCTTGTTTCTGAATTGTATAATCAACTGAAATTTCCCGTAAAGGTAACTTATGTTTTTGTTTGTCGAACCATCCAATGTTTATTTAAACATACGTAATACACTTTTTCTATTCAGCTTGTCCATAAGAACAAGAAATGTGCAATATCATAGAATCAAACCTAAATATCAAGGTATTGTGGGAATAGAAATAGGCCAGTAGTAAATTAAGAATATAATAAATCAATAGTAAATTATATACTATGGTGCATTTTCTTATGTGGCTTTTAGCAGTCTTATTGTCTAAAATATATTTGCATTTATATTACTTACTATTACACTAATCTCATCTTTCCTTGTAGCCTGGAGACTTGAAAAAGAGGATTGAATCTCTCATTGACAGAGACTATATGGAGAGAGACAAAGACAACCCCAATCAGTACCACTATGTTGCATAATGGAGAAGAAGTACTTTTATTTAAAAGAAAAATAAGAAAATAAACCCAAAAAGTAAAAACCAAAATCATCCACATATATCTTCAGGACACCAAATACCTATGCTGTTCCAGACTTTCCTTTTAGCAGATTTCAGGTTGATGTATATTCTTCAACCAGCTGCATGCACTGCTGTGGAAAAGAAGAAAAATGACATGTTCATTGATCACCCTTGTCAAGACTCCTTACTAATTTTAAACATCCTGGGGTGTTTTTTATCTTTAGTT